TATGTCTTTAAATAAAAAGAAATAGCTGGAGAGCTATTTCGTCTATTTATACGAAATTTTTTTATATATATTAGACTAGTATTAGTTAGTGTATAGTATTGTAAGACCTTAGGTACCAACTGGTGCCTGAGGCCGAGCTCTATACTAGGGCCTTGATCCTATAACAGTATTAAAATCTTATAATAATAGTTTTTATTCTTAAATTATTATATCTATATAAAATATATCTGAAATATGATTTATATTAACATAAACTACTATTTTTATTTATAAAAATAATTAATAGAAATATTAAAATTAAGATATTAGTATTATTAGAAGAATATTTTTATATATAACTATAAATATATATTTTATAAAATAAATACTTTTATAAAATTATTAGATTAAATAATAATTTTATTTTTTATATTTTTTAATCTATATAGAATAGCTTAACTATTATAATCTTTATTAATAGCCGGATTTTTTATTTTTTTTAAACTTATTATTTAGTTATATTATTAAAAATAGGATTTTTTATATTTTTTAAACCAGATCTATAGTTCTATCTATAAAAATCAGACTTTTTATATTTTTTAAATTAGATTTATAATTATATTTATAAGAATTGAATTTTTTATATTCTTTAAATTAAGTCTATTGTTTTATTTATAGAAATTGGATTTTTTATATTCTTTGAACCGGATCTGCGGCTCTGTTTATAGAAACTAGACTTTTTGTATTTTTTAAATCAAATCTATAGTTCTATTTATAAAGACCAGACTTTTTATATTCTTTAAACCAGATTAGATATAAAAATTCTAATTAATTTAATCTAATCTAATTATTAGTTATTCTAAATCTATATTATTTAATAAAATATATTTATATTATATTCTATAAGTTTTATTTAATTAATAAATCTTTTTAAATATTATAATATAAAGCTAAGATATCTGCTCTTTTAATATTTATTAATTTTTTAATATTTATTATTTTTATTATTCTATCTGCTCTTCTTAATTTATATAAATAAATTAAAAAAGTTTTTAGTAGATAAACTATAGATTTTATAAATTTTTAGTAGATAATCTACAGATTTTATAAATTTTTTAATAAATAATTTATTTAATTTATAAATTATCTGCAGATTATTTATTTATTCTATAATTTAATTAATTTTAATTTTGTATTATTTTTAAATAGATTAACTTTTCTTATAATAAGATTAATATAAACTATTAACTTAAAAGTTAGAATATAAAATAAGAATATTTTTTATTTTTCTTAATGTAAAAAATCTTTTTTTATTATAAATTTATAAATTTATAATTTTATTTTTGAATATTTATAACTTTTTATTTAAAATATTCTAGTTTACCAATATCTATTTATTATTATATTAGAATAATTATTTAGATATTCTTAATAATAGCCCGGTTTTTTTCTTTAATGAATTTATATCTAATTCTTTAATTAGTTAACAGAATATTAGTTATAAAATAAAGTTTATAGTTAATTTTAATTTTATTTAACTAATTTTATTATGAAATCTTTTGTTATACAATACCTACTCCTACAGCAGCCTCTATCTACCAGTAAGGCAGTTTGCTTCTGGGTCGGTACTGATTCGCCGGGCTTTCGATCCGGATGCCTACATCATTATGCTGCTTACCCCTTATTTTTGTGTATGATAAATTGTGCCGAAATCCTTTAGAAGAGGAGATTCCTTAAGGATTAGTCTTGAAAGAAGAAGGAGACTGCTTTTGACTATTCTCTAATATACATGTTGCTTACCTTGCCTAACCAGCGTGTCTACTGCGTCAAGTAGTTTCTAACATTTAATTATTTAGATTATTTAATTAACTGACTGATATAAAAATAAATATTTTAAAAAAAGATTTTTAATAATCTATAAAATATATACTAAAAATTCTAAAAATATTATTATTATATTGATTAGATAAAAGACTATATTGATATTCTTATAATTAGTCTAGATCTAATATTAAAATTTAAAAAGTTTAGAAAAGATATATAGCTAGATAATAATATTAACTAATATAAAAAATATTAATCTTTTTAAAAAAATATTCTATTTCTATTATAATTAGAATCCGGCTTTTAATATATTATTAATTATTTTTAGATTTTTATTAGATTTAGATAAAGCTTTTTATAATATCTCTACATTTTAAAAATTCTTATCTATAATAGAAATATTTAAAGAACTAAAAATATATTTAAATATTAAAAATATATAGTTTATTAAAATATTTTAATTTATACTTATATTATTTTGAAAATTATAAAATATACTAATATTTTTACTTATTAAAAATTCTATTATATAAAAATAATAAAATAATTATAACTAGATTTCTATTAATATAACATTTAAATACTAATTAAAAGTTTAATAAAGATTTCTAATAATCTATAATTTTTATTAAAAACATTTAATTAAAATAAAGAATATTTTTAAACTAGAACTAGTCCAGCAGTTTACTATAATTAATATATATTTAATGTTTAAAAATTCTAATAACAATTATATATAAATTTTTTTTATAATTCTGAAAAATATTTTTTAATTTATATTTGATTAGAAGAACTTGATTTTTAATAAAAAAAATAAAATAATTAGATTATTTTTTGTTTAAATTAAATATACTCGACTATTTGAAAAAATAAATAATAAATAATTATAAAATATAAAATTTAATTGTAAAAACTTTATTTATTATAGGCTGTAGAGGCTAGAGTGGCTTAATCTGACTGTTATATCTTAATCTTAATCTGACTATAACTGTATAATTAGATTAAGATATATAAGTTTTTTTAACTATATAATTAAAATTAAATTAAAATATAATTATTATTTTAACTATTTATATCTATCAGTCAAAAAGATTAGATATAATAAATAGATTATTAACTATAAATTAATTAGTAATATATATATTAGTTTTATATATATTATATATAAAATATAATAAATTATTAATTATAGTATAATAACATTTTTTAGATTCAGCTAATCTATTCTATCTGCTTTATCTATTTTTTTCTAAAATATACTGTGTTTTGCAAAAAGCTTTTACAGAACCTAGTATAAAAAGAATAGTATACTACTTCTTATAATATTTAGAATAGTAACTATAATCTTTATTAAAAACTGGACTTTCTATTCTTTTAAACTTGCTATTCAGCTATATTATTAGAAGCCGGATTCTTTATATCCTCCGAACCGGATCTGTAGTTCTATCTGTAAAGACCCGGACTTTTTATATTCTTCGAATCAGATCTGCAGTTTTATCTGTAGAAACCAAACTCTTTTTATTTTCCAAACCAGATTTATAATATTATCTGCGGGGACTAGATTCTATTTTTTTAAACTAGTTCTTTTATAAGATAGGCGAATAATATTCTATTCTTGTTAAAATCTATTATTATAGATTCTTATAATATAATTTTTCTGTATAACTTCCGGAATAGTAACTCTAATAATATATCTGTTTTATATTATTTTTTATACTATTTAAAATAGTAATTATATTAATATAAAATTAAAAAGACCGGGGTTTTTTTTCTAAATATATATAATATTTAAAAACTCTAATAGACCTAGCTTTTCTAATTCTAGTAATAATCTATTTTTAGAATTATTTTTAAGATTATTTATATTCTTATTCTTATTAATATAAAAATTAGTAATTATTTTTTTTATTGTTTTAGCATAAAAATAATTATATTTAAATTAAAATTATTAAAAATATTCTTATATTTTTTTATTAATTATGAAATAATTAGTATATATTTAAAATATAACTATTTTAATTATATTAAAATAAAAATAGTTTTAATAATAATAACAGATATTTTAAAACTATTAAATAAATATTTAATATTAATATTCTTAATTATAACTAAAAAAATCTTTACTTATCTATTAAAAAATAAAAAACTAATCTTAACAGAACTTTTAATAAATAAAATAATTAATATATTTTATAATAATTAGAATAATATTAGTATAAGTTAAAATATTTTCATAAACTATATATTTTTAATATTTAAATATATTTTTAGTTTTTTAAATATTTTTACTGCGGGTAAAAGTCTTTAATATTTAAAAATATTATAAAAAACTTTATGTAAATTTAATAAAAATCCGGAGATTATTAATAATATATTAATAGCTGGATATTAACTATGAAAAAAATAGAATATTTATTTAAAAATAGTTTAATACTTCTTATACTAGTTAATATTATTATCCAGCTATGTGAGGGCGTACCGCGGGACCGGATCTTAGTTTGACTAGTTTACTTTATTTGTTCTGTTTACTTCCTACACTAATAAAATAATACCACAGAAATATATAGTTATCTTTTTCCTCTTTTTTCTTTATATTTAAGATTTTATTAAAATAGTACTAAATTAATAGAACTAAGTTAATCTAAATAACTATTATATAATTCTAAGTATTATTTTTGTTTTTATTTTCTTTTTAAAGTTTTTTATAACTATATATATAAAAAATATATATTTTTATTATTTTTGAAAAAGATTTTTTATGTATAAACTAATAATAATAATAATTAGTTTTAGAAAGTCTAAATCCAAGAAATATAAAACTCTAGAATTATACATTGTAATTAAATTTTTATTATTATAGTTATAAATTATATAATAATTCATAAGTAAAAAATTTAAAATAAACTTTCATATATAATTAAACTATTACTAAGATTAATAGATTTGCTACTATAGCTACTAGCTATATAAAACTTATAAAAAAATCTAGATTTTAAATAAAATTTAATATAATTTTAAAAGAAACTTTATATTTAAATAAATTCTTAGTAGATAATCTGTAGATTAATATATTTAATCTATAAATTAGCAGATTCGGATCTTAAGTCCAGGATTCAGACCCGATCTATAAATACGGGTTCTGATGTTGGACCCAAACCCGACCCGTGGCGAGGCCTATAAAAGACAGAGGTGGCTAGCTTGGTTTAATGGCCAGCGCGCTTCTGGATTACATTACTGTCCGGTTATGCTTACTAAGCGACCTCCTTTCCGTCTATTTATCTCAAAGTTATCTCCCTGCTGTTTTGACACGTGCTGACAATGCGAAGTACCCTTCTCCATTTGCTAAGAGACGCACTGCTCGGCCTGGTACAGCACTGCGCGATACTTAAAAGTTCCATTCTTTCTTTCCACAAGGGTCCTAAAGCCCAGCGGCATGGAGCAACGTACAACTCTTCCAAACAGAAAGTGCGGTGGTGCGCGGAGAAAAGCCTGCAATGAGTGCAAACAGCACAAAGTCAGTATCGTCTCATGAGGTTATGATGCCCATAACACAGGGCTTGAACTTCGCTAACCAGTGGATTTCTGGTAATGCGTAGATTAGATGCGACAGCGCCAGACCACCTACAGAGCCTTGTTCACGTTGTCAACGACTACAAATCGAGTGCAAGATTGAACCATCCTTCCGACGTACCATGAGAAGGAAGTAAGTTTTAATAATCTCTTGGTTCGCCGGTAAATGTTGATCACGATAGACGGAATGCGGAGATGGAGAGCGAGATTGCCGGACTCCGCCAACGCCTGGCTACTGGCGTTGCCGATGGGGGCTCTCAGTATTCACAGGAAGGACATTTGGGTACAGCATCTGGCTTGGAAGTTGCATTGTCTAGTCAATCTAGTAACCCCGAAAATACCGAATTATACGGATGGACGCCGTTAGCCTCTTTGAGCGAGAGATCACCTAGAGCGTCAGAAGCAGACTTCTGGAAACTTGAAGACGTTTCGCTTTCTCAGAGGAAAGTAGCAGAGTTGTTTGAGGAGTCAGTATGCCGATCATTGGTAATAGAGGGATTCGATCTTTTAACAGCCTCGCAGGTACTTCGGGCATTACCATATTTTTCTACCACTACTAGACCCTCAAAAATCACCCTTGGAATATCTTCGGTCCTGCCCATTGCAAGCATGGACCGTTATTTGTACCGCCAGTCGACGGGATGCATCAAATCCCAATTTCCTCAACCAACTCTTAGGCCCATTCACACGACTTATGTGGGCCACGGTGAACAGTATACCGCAGGACTATAATGTGATCAAAGCTCTTTGCCTGCTATGTACTTGGCCACTCCCCACAACCACTCAAAAGGCAGATCCCACGTTTGTACTCAGTGGAATAATGATGCAGCTATCGATGCAATCAGGATTGCACCGGCCAGTACGGGCGGAGGAGTTCACCACGCTGCACATAAGCCACGGCGAAGCTGTTAAGGACCGCCTACAGACTTGGCTTGTCTGTAATATAGTAGCTCAGAAGTGAGTACGTTAATGATCAGGTTACCGGAAGCTGACCACAATTATTAGTGTCTCTACCGGATATGGACAGCCTTCAGGGACAGTGTACGACTGGGCTCTCGGGCCATCCTCACTGCAGGATGCTGATTACTTCCCTTCAGAAGACCTTCGTGTGCGCTTTCGCATAGAGAAGTTCTGTGATCACGTTACAAGGACTGTCTATAACACCAGACCAGAGGCCGCAGATTTCATCAGTACGGAAAAACTCCTGATTGTGCAGCTCCTGGAGAACGAACTCGAAAATATGGAAACTGAGCTGGGAAGGAACATATCCCGTATGGAAACCTACGTCACCTTGGCTCTTGCCACAGTTAACGATCAACCAGGTATAAATAAAACCTACCTGCGCGGCGCAGAGTTGCACCTCCGATGTTTCGTGTTTTTGGGCACAAATGCACGAAAGGAAAGCTTCACAAAGCTATTCGTCGCGGCCACAGCATTCCTCTCCCAAGTTCTGGAACTAGAAACATCAGGCCAGATTGGTCATGCGACAAATTATATATTGCAAATGACTGTCTCTGCGGCTTTCGCACTGCTGAAGATTTTAAAAAGCCGCATTCGACACCAGATCGATTTCGAATACGGCAAGTTACTTTTCAACGGAGCGATTTCGGCGCTGCGACGGACTAGTGTGATGAGACGGGATCGCCCAGATCGCCTCGCAGATGTGTTGGCGCAGATGTGGAATGCCACCGACACTGCATCGTGGCCGTTTGATGAAGAAGAGACGCCGCAGCTTAAAATCCGCTGTCGGATGAGCATGAGTCATGTGTTCGATACCGTTTGGCGCTGGCGCCACCAGTTTCGGGCGGGTATGAATGCTAATGGGGTTCAATGTATTTGTCTCTAAACCCTTTCTCTTCTTTTCGAATAAGAAGTGGGACTAATTTACATTTTCTCTTACTATAGGTGCTACTGCAGATAAACCGAACGAAGAGGGTGGCACGAGGGGCGGACAGTCTGATGGACCGCTCATGGATTCTTTATTAATGTGTCCGCCACAAGTCAACGAGGGAGCCGCAATGCCTACTGACAATGACTTCTCTGAGATATTTGATTCCCTTGTTATGGTTTTTGATGACATTCCTGATGCGATGGTCAACCCATCATTGCTTTGAGTTCTTGAACAGTCATTTCCTTCTTGATTGCAGATGCGCGAAATTGCCTGTGAAGTGACAAATTGGTGGGGAGATTCGTGAAGTACGAACGTGGCATTGGAACAAGGCGACGAAAATATAGATGGTCGAAATGTGAGTGAAAAAGACCACACTTTGGGCATTATCGTACCAACGCGATTCCTATTTGGCCACATATTTTGTAGTATCGAACCTGAGAGAGCAGCGGCTTTAAGGTGAGCCTGCTAGCAGCCACAGAAAACTGGACCTTCGGAGTTCCATCGCGGCGTTTCGGACCGGGACTAATGCTCAATGCCGACTTTCGGAGATGAGTTCTGCCCTCGCCAGTGAACTTCGATAACCAGGATCCACCCGCTCGCTTTCGGAACAGAGAATCGGAGTCCCTCTTCGTCGGCAATTGGAACGATCTAGTACAGTGATCAAAAACTGTTGTGCCGAATATGGGCCTCGATTGCTCTTTAAAGTCACGCCACCTTCCAGCTCTCGGGACGTTGATGGTTGACCTCACGCCGTAATCTATACAGGCATTCTTCAATCATCCTTGCGTGATTCCTGCCCAGCTTCAACATAATGTCTACCACTCATCAGTACGACCCGGAAATAAGGGATATCGCGAGCTATGTCGCCAACCACGAAATTAGTTCGAACTTGGCTGTACGTGACAACGCTTCTAATACACCAGCATCCCTTTTGCAGAGCCTTGGGCTAACGGACTATAGTTTGATACAGCGCGTCTTGTCCTCCTCGATACCCTGGGCTGCGGCCTCGAAGCATTGAAGTTCAAAGAGTGCACGAAGCTACTCGGTCCCACTGTCCCCGGCACCATCGTACCGTTCGGATGCAGGATTCCCGGAACGCAGCTAGAACTAGACCCGGTCCAGGCAGCATTCAACATCGGCGCCATGATCCGCTGGCTGGATTTTAACGACTGCTGGCTAGCAGCCGAATGGGGCCACCCGTCTGATAATCTCGGCGCTATCCTTGCAGTTGCCGACTGGGTGACCAGGACGAACCGTGCGGGCGGAAACATTGCCGGGGGGGCTATGTATACTGTAAGAGATATCCTGGAGAGCATGATCAAAACCCATGAGATCCAAGGCTGCTTGGCCTTGCTCAATTCCTACAATGGTGTAGGAATGGATCATGTTGTCCTCGTGAAAGTCGCGAGTGCCGCGGTGGTATCGAAATTACTCGGGCTGGGCGAGCAACAGATTGCAGATGCGGTGAGCCAGGCCTGGGTGGATGGTCAAAGTCTGCGAACCTATCGCCATGCTCCGAACACCATGTCACGCAAGTCGTGGGCTGCAGGAGACGCATGCCAGCGAGCCGTGAGCCTGGCTCTGAAGACTTTCCAAGGCGAACCGGGAATCCCTACTGTGCTCTCTACCCCTACATGGGGCTTCTATGACGTTATGTTCAAGGGGTCTAAGTTCAAATTTCAACGCCCGTATGGGAGCTATGTCATGGAAAACGTGCTGTTCAAGGTTTCATACCCGGGTACGTGTCACTAATGCCCGCTCGAAATGTAGGCCTTGCCCGCTAATAAGAGACATGTTGCTTCCACAGCGGAGTTCCACTCGCAGACAGCAGTTGAAGCCTGCGAAAAGATACACGAAAAACTAGCGACAATGAACAAATCCGCTGCGGACATCAAAGCCATCACCTGCCGCACACACGAAGCCTGCATCCGCATTATCGACAAACAATTTAAACCGATGAACAATTTTGCCGACCGTGATCACTGCATTCAGTACATGTGCGCGGTGATGCTCGTCTTCGGTCGCCTTGAGGCAACAGATTACCTCGACGGAAGCGTCGCGGCGTCTTCGAAACTCGTAAACTCGCTACGGCAAAAGATTACTTGTGTTGAGGACCCTCAGTACACCAGGGACTACCATGACCCGGCCCAACGCACGATATCAAACGCTCTGACGGTGGAATTGAATGATGGTACCGTGCTTGAGGAGGTTGCGGTGGAAACTCCTCTGGGCCATCGCCTTCGTCGGGAGGAGGCAAAGCCGGCTATCCTTGCGAAGTTCAAGCGACACCTTGCTGACCACTTTTCGGAAGAGCGGGTTAGTGAGCTGCTGCAGTTGGGGCTGGAGCGAGAGAAAATGGAATCCATGGCGGTGGACAACTATCTGGATTTGTATACTGTTGACAGCAAGTTCTTGTAGTCGCCAGGTTGCATATAACAAATAGCAATGGCAAATGAAAGTTTACAATGGAGAGCGAAGTGACTGTACTCTTTGCTGGGCGCGCATCTATAGCTCAGGAAACGATACTGAGTTTGGCAGGAGCTGGATACTCAGAGCCCTCAAGGCGCTACAGAATGGCACGCTTCTGACTGCCTTTCATGCTCCAAGACGCATATACGCTACAAAGATGCATATAGACTAGCCAAGAGTAGCATGTGCAAGAAAAAAGATTCGCGGACAGGCAAGCCCCTGTCCCCAGTAAAAGACAATGCGCGGCTAGGATGGAAAGCGCTATGCAAGCGAAAAGCTCATAGCTATGGCATTGCTATACAGTCTAAGCTTTCTCAAACAGCGATACAATACTCTCATACGTTGTGAACACTATGCCACCACTGAGAATCAACCGCCCAAGTCTCATTGAACTTCCCCTCCAAAATCCCGGAAGCCCTCCATCTCTCAATATTGCCCGCGTCGCCTCCAATGTAGTTAACCCCTGGGCAGCCTGGGCCCGGGTTTTAATTGTGTCAAAGGGCTGGGTAGCGTATACGGTAATGACACCGGCTCCTGCTCCGAGACCAAAAGTGACAATGGGACCGTGTGTGCCCGGGGCATCGTGAGTGCTGCTTGGTATCAACTCTTTTAAAGAATTATAAGTCCCCATCCGGACCGCAGATGTAGCAACTTGCTTGAGTGTGGTAGAAACAAGCCCACGGTAGAGACCTGCAACTCCGGTTTCTGAAACGACCGTGCTCAGCGCGTGCATGCCGCTCTTGAAGCGTTTGAGAGACCTTGCGTCGTCGATGCTAAAGGTATGAATTAGAAAGGGGGTCCCACTGGACTGCAGTCGAAGGATGGAATGAGAAAGCTCACAGGGCTGTCTTGATACGTTCAGTGGGAGTTACCGCCACAACGCTTTCAACCGTCCCCGCCACGACCCCAGCAAGTACGCCTTGTACTGGAGATAGCCTGCCATTCGAATCGGACAGTAGGCCCCTAATGGAATCGAACGATAGAAAGCGGACGCCGGCCTTGAATGCAGTACCCTTGAGCAGGACCGTGGTCAGATCTTAAATGCCAATGTTGGTTTGAGGCGGTTTCACTCACCAGCACTAGGGTTGAGCAGCCCTGGTATACAGATTGGAAACCAGTCTCTTGAATCGTTTGCCTCACGAGGGTCAATGGGTTTCTGGATGTGGAAACTTGAATGGTACCGGTGACACCAAGCTGGGAGCGCGTTTTGGCGAATTCAAAAGGGTACTATTGCGGTCAGGGCCTGGACCTTGGAGTGGAACGGCCTTGGCACAAACCGTAATACTGGCTTCTACAACACCGGCAAAGGCGCCTGCGAGGAGAGATATCTCAGGCCTCATCTCACGCTTCATAGGGTCTGCAGGCTGCTGTGTTTCTGAACTTGGAAAAGCCGAGACGCGCAGCACCTTTGACTCTGTGACAGTCGACACGATGATATATAGAACAACTAAGAGACAAGCCTAGCTTCAGTCTGGACTTGGCAGTAAGTTTACTGAAAGAATTTTATATCCACCGGGGCTTGATCTGGTGTCCATTCCCACATCTCAGGTCACTATCTTCTTCATTGAGACTAGTCACTCGGAGCTGGTGCCATTGGCCGAGAATCGGGGCGTGGTCAGCAATGTTCTTCAAATAGTTGTCATATACGGTGCAGCCACTGCCTCAAATCATCCACAGGTACAGTGTAGTGTGCAGCAACCTTTCGCTATTTAGGGTGCATGTCCGAAGTTCGGAAAGGTGGAACTATGAGGGGCCGCAATCTATCGGAGATAGCATGATGTCGGATATGGGACGTGTCATGTGTTGGCCAGACGTACATGCCCCAACGGAAATTTAAATCTCGGTACCACAGAAGCTCTCATCACCTGGGCCGTGTATCGCAAATGAAACTAAAGACCGATCTCACGCGGGAGCCCCAGCAGCTGGACCTTAGATGGCCACTTCCCGCAGTACAGCTGGCCAAAACTTTCCTTTCTAGTAGTAGTGAACCAGGCCCACAGCTGAAGGCTAGTCAAAGCCCCGCGCAAGTGGCAAACTGCCATGAATTCATTATCTTTGAGGCTTCGTGCGTAATAGCCACTCCGAAGTTGCTCCGGCCCGTTGCTCTCGCTTCCCCAGACTTCAATCCCCGCCTTCCTGTTGGACTAACGGCCAACTGTTCACATAAATAGCTGGTCCGTCTCTTGGAGCTCTAGGTATTCGTTCGCCATTCGAGATCCTGCATCCCCAGCTGGAGTCTTACGATAGCTGGATCCCACAATGGCAGGATCCAAAAAGCCCATCAACATTTTCCAATTGGGAACCAACGATGACCCCAAAGAAATCTTCAACCGGCACCTCTGGTTCTCTGTAATCTCCTTTGGCTTGATGGGCACGGCGCGAGGTATCGACGAGGGGCTCATCACCGGTACCTTCAACTCGGCTGATTTCCAACGAACCATAAACTTCCAGTCCTACAGCACAGTGGAACAAGCTAATATTCGAGGAAATGTATCCTCCATGGTGCAGATTGGATCTGTCGGGGGTGCTCTAATGTAAGCTACAGCGACAGCACAACCGCACTGTTCATGCACAAGTATGCTAATATGTTTGATAGTGCGTTCTTGGTATGTGACCGGGTTGGTCGCGTGTGGGCAACACGCCAACTCTGTGTTCTTTGGATGCTAGGTATAGCCATATTTATGGCTGCGGATGGCAGTTTAGGCGTGATATACGCTGGAAGGTTTGTTGCTGGCCTGGGGGTCGGACAGACAGTGGTAGTTGGGCCGTTATACCTAGCTGAAATTGTGAGACATCCTTACGAATATCCTTAGCCTCGTTCTGACATTTCTAGGCCCCAGCGAGTATTCGAGGTCTCTGTACCTGCATCTTCACCGGATTCGTATATATTGGCGTTTTGCTGGCTTATTTCACAAACTATGGATGCGAGGTTAATCTTGGTGATAATACGCATAACCGATGGGTTCGTCCACACTCCATGCTCCCATGTCCCCCCTCCCCTAGGTACACTCTACATACTAACAACTTAATTTCAGCTCGTGCCAACCAGTTTACATATTATGTTCGCCGGAATCATACTTATACTGTCCTTCTTCCAGTATGAGTCGCCCCGCTACTTAGTGAAGCAGTCAAAGGATGAACAAGGCCTGCACACCCTTGCTCAGCTCCGCAAACTATCCCCCGATCATCCATACGTGGTTCGCGAGTTCGGAGCAATTCAAACAGCATATCAAATAGAAGTACAAGAAACTCAGGGGATTGGATACAAGAAAATCGTCAAGGAGGCCTTCTCGAGCAGTAATATTCTCTACCGACTACATATTGTATCCTTAGCCCAAATCCTCGCACAATGGTCTGGGGCCGGATCTATCACAATTTACGCACCCGACCTGTTTAAACTGCTCGGGATCACGGGAACGAACGAGTCACTCCTCATCACGGCAGTGCTTGGGGTCTTGAAATTCATAGCAGCCATCATCTGCGCTTTATTTCTGGTCGACTATATCGGTCGGAAACGCTCGCTGCTGCTCGGAATCAGCCTCCAGGCGTTCGCCATGATTTACATAGCGGCATTCCTCACCACCGTGCCAGAATTAGGGGTGGTCGACGGCTTCAAACTTCCAAACTCTATGCGCAGCGCGAGTCGCGGGGCAGTTGCCATGATCTACATCTCAGGATTTGGATGGGCGCTCGGGTGGAATTCTATACAGTATCTTCTTACTGCGGAGCTGTTTCCCTTGCGCATCCGTGCACTAGCAACCTCTATTACCATGACTCTACATTTTGTCAATCAGTATGGCAACTCGCGGGCGGTTCCAGACATGCTGCTCCCTGTTTCCGCAGGGGGGATCAGTCCAAAGGGCACGTTCTGGCTGTTTGCGGCCGTCACGATTCTTGGCGGACTGTGGGTGTGGTTTAGTGTGCCGGAGACCGCAGGCCGGACATTGGAAGGCATGGACAGGCTCTTCGAGCTTCCTTGGTATCGAATCGGTCTATATGGCAATGCGGATGCTGTGCAGCGAGATTTGACCGCCTCGGACCAGGCGGAGGGTGAAAATAATGTTAACGGTCCCAAGGATTCGCAGCCGTCTGCTCGAGAGATTGAGAGGGTCTGATGCCTGAACAATGCAAAGAAGATTGGCTGCAGGGCAATGATAACCTGCCGTGGGGATCTGGGGGTTGAGTTTACATTATGATTTGCTCACGTAGTTCAACCTTGAGAGATATCATCCTTCAGGAAGCACTTCACGTGGGTGGTTGCCGCGCGGGGCGGGAAAGAGATGAAATGGGCGTAACTCATTAGTCATGCTTCATTTGATTCTTATTTCATTATGTTGACATCAGGAAAATATACGAGATCGAGAATGACCATGAGAGTATTATTCCTCCGCCCTATATTCAGTGTGCAGACACTTGAAAGGCTAGAGCATCAGCCGAGATGGCTGCTTTCCAGTACCGAGCTCGACGAAACGATCCTGTGCACCAGCAGTGTTTGTCGGCTGGCAAGAGGGGACAGAAAGCCACGCTGCTTCCGCACGAACTCGGTACACACATCCGGAGCCAACGCGGCACATTGAAGGAAACAGTAAAAAACTTATATTAGCCTTTTATTACCGAGAGGAGCCGTATACGAATGGCTCAACCTTACGTGTAAGAGCCACCGAGCACAGGCAATCCCGCCGAGGCTGGAATGTGACAGTCTAAGTCGTACATATTGAACTGCTTGAGGGAAGATCAAAGGGAGCGTCCAGTTCGGGATCATGAAAAATTCCGTAGACTGAGGAAAAGCTTTTCTTCAGGATTGCATAATCAATCTACAATGTTTCTTTTCTCAAGTCGTTCTTAGCTTGATTCAAAAGCCTGCAGGAATTGTCAGTGACATGGTCTTCTTCCGCAGTACTGAAAGGCAGGTGCGACTGACCCGTTTCCGTATTTCCTTGGCCCATGCTCTTACTACTACTGCTTCCACTCTGGATTGTCCCAAGGATACCATCCATATAAGGAGCACCGCTCCATTTCTGGTGCGTGAGAACATCGATAGCGAGCTCTTGTTCGCGGGATTGGATTAAGCGGACATAGGCGAGCATGCCCTCAGTTTTAAAGGCGCGTGAAAGCTCAGCCGTGATTGTTGCGCCAGAATGAACACCTGCAAGGGATATCAATTGTAGCACAAAACTACAGGTGATTAGTTTATAAAGTAAAGAATCTCATGAGTAACAAGGACGAACTCACCCGTGCTGTGCGAGATCCCAAATAAATGACTTTAGAGACGCCTCGTCAAACCCTTGACTCATCCAATTAAACGATGGGCTAAGGTTGTAAACTAGCTTCTTGCCCGGAAGAGCAGCCCGCACCTCTCCTGCAAGCTTCGCAGCTTTGGTGATATCTGGATCACCTGTCTCTGTCCAGAGAAGGTCGGCATAGGGCCCGAACTCCTTTGCTCTTTTAATCGCGGCAGGAAAACCAGCCTTATAGTGGTAGTATCCCTCCCTAGTACGGGGAAGGTCGCAAGACCAAGTCACAGGAGTTTTGGTAAAGTCGTTGGCCAAAGTCCGTCGGCAGGAGATGGATAAATTCGGGTTATCCTTCACATTTTTCTTATATGCATCGCGCGATGATTGCGAGGCACCTTCAGCCTCAAGATGCGTATCCACGGCTATTATAGGTTAGTGGGAAATATCTCAATAAAGCCTAAGGGAGTTCACTTACCCTCATCGAAAGTCGTAAGTTTGTGCTTCTTGACCCAGTTCAGTTCATATGCATCGACATCTGACGGTTTTGCTCCTTGCATCTCCATAAATTGTAAAGTCTCCGCGAGTGGCTCAACATCTTCCGTGATTCCAAGAAGAAATTCGTGGTCTCTAACGTCAATAGCACTGCTAATAAGCCTTCCACTTTCTGAGTCTGTTCGAGCAATGACGAGATTCTCGACACCCATCATATCCCATTGGAAACGTGCTGCAATAAGTCGGTTAATATGTTCTCCTATAGGTACCAAAACTTTGCCTGCAAGATGGCCACACTTCTTTCCACCGTGAAGTTGATCTTCGAAATGAACAGCAGCAGCACCGTTCTCAGCAAAGAGCTTGGCTAATTTGAGGACGGTGCTCAAGCCGCCATGTCTAGGATTACGTCAATCTGGGTTAAATTAATAAATCTGTGAGTATAACATACCCAGTATCACCATCCGCAATTATTGGTCGCATGTAATCAATATAGGGAGTGTGCTTTCGCTGCTCTGGAGTCATCTTTCTTCTTGAATCCCACTGTCTTCGATCGTGCATTTGTTGGGCTTTGAATAGCCGCTGAACCTGGTTTGGTACGGTATTGTAAGGGTAGTCTCCAAAGTCAGGGGAGACTTCGTTCGTAGTAGTCAACAGCGAGGAACACGCCCAGCCGGATACATACAAGGCCTCCTGGTTATCAGCCTGCTGTGTCATTTGGATAGCATCAATTGCACCCACTGCTCAATATCGCTTACAATTAGCGTTGACTTCTGGCTGGCTGTCTGAGAGGAAAATTCTCGGAAACATTAAACGTACTGGTGTGAACAGGTTTGCTTTCGGCCGCTCTCTCATTCAGTAAGTTGAACAGCTTCTGGGCCATCAAAGAGCTTGGATACGATTGTTGCAATGTTCCCCGCTTGCTGACCACATCGGCTGCGGAGTAGGATCGCTTAATACCCTCGAACCGGGGCGTCTTCCACCAAGCTTCAACATCCTGAACTTGTTGCCTAAATAAAGCATCCTCTGCAGCCCCGGCTTTTTCATCTGTCGATAGGAGTTGATAGAAGTCACCAGGCAACGCCATCGAAATGGGTGGTTGAACCTGGGGAACCGATGACGGCGACATCCGCAAATCACCGCACGTGAAAGGACGGCGGATGAGACGACAGAAACCGCCTGCAGCCGGTGAGATAGAGGGAAGACGTCGAAGTATTCGACAAGAAAAAGGACGGAACATTTTCAATTATGGTACTATCTCCCAAAGGCAAACAGCCCTCTGATGGGAAAAGAAAGGGGGATGTCTTGTCAGATTAACGGAGAGAGAGGTGTGTACGAGCGATGACAGCATATCCCGTGCGTGTCTAGTTTGCCTACTACTGTATCAGTAATCAAGTGTAGGAAACAATACATACTCCCATATGCTAAGTGCTTATTTATACATAACCTTGGGCTTCCACACTGTCCGATAATCGGACACTTTGCGATGATCGGGCGATTTCCGATAATCGGCAATCAGCTTAGCAGGCTCACCACCGACCACAGTCTCGACCCTGAAAAGTCTGTTTACGCCATGATGCGGCTGCCTCTGGGGTTCTTGGTCATATTTACAATATACGAATGAGCTCTATTCCATCGGGACGTTGTGACAAGACAATTACCCAGCGATTGTGCTATCAGGGGTGCTGTGCGATTGGCAGTGCCCATTGTTACGATGACCTTCTTGGACAATTGATTGGCAGTGGCATGTGTTTTGGACTCGTCAGTTCCCCCTCCATAGCCCTTCTGTATGCATTTCCCATCCTATCACAGTATTTATAATCAGGGTCGAACTGGACAGGATAAGCGAAGAATTATTGCTCCTGGCCTTTGTCCTATCCCTCGATCGCAACCCCTGCATTGCTATTCTTGAGCCTATTCACCTCCGCAGTCTCTCTAGTCTGACCGAGGGCAACAAACTGGCTCTTCAATACTTTCACACTCCGAACACTCACCCCTGCCTCCGGATCGAACAGCGCATCAAATGATACTACTTCACCTTTGGCCCGAATCACTGTAGTTGAAGCGAACGTCCTGGGCAGAGTAATAACCTCACTGCCCCTAATAGTAAGCCTGACCTTCTCTGGCATCTTGTGGTCCCAGTAGATTTCTGGCGAGTTATCGATGCCCCGTGGCGGGAGCGTCCGATCGAAGACCAGCCGCGTGTAAGGGGGACGCTTCATCATTTCCTGTCTCCATGTTTCGCTGAGGGGATCAAAGTTGAGAAATTTGTTTTTAGCGTCACGGCAGCTATTTGGTGCGGAGTTGGAGGGGCAGATCGCCCGGGCTCGCCGACATGATTCGAGGATGTCAGTGTTTCCAAGGGGCTGGAGCAGAGCGATCGTGGCTTGACGTTGGTTGGAAGTGGGGATGGATTCGGAACCGTGGTGAGGTAACTCCTTTATGTGACAAAAGTCGTGTAGGGCCGTTGCATTGAAAGCGTTTGGGGAGAGACATATTCAACGCAGTGGGAGAAGAAGAAGGAAAGTCGGTTTTGGAGGCAGCCTTGAGAGGAGGGGCAGGCAGCTATTTGAATTAAGGCTAACATTACATGCGCAGTCTAGCCTTGTTCAAGCAATGAGTCACTTCGTGTATCGAGCCTGATTTCTACTCGGATAGTCCTCCTGCGAAGTTTTTCTGGGATGGCAAATGTCAGCCAGGCGACTGCAGAGGTCTAGCCAAGAAGTGCGACTTCGGTGTCTCGATGGTTGCCCCCATTCCTTTAGCAAATGCTCCCGTGGTACGCATAACACTGCGTTCATATTGTCTCTCTGACAAATACGGCCAAATATTGTTCCAGATTGAACCAAGTCACGTCTGCCATGGCCAGGATCAAATATGCGTATTCTACATACATGACACATCAGATAGATGGAGAGAGCTTTCCCGTCCCGGATGCAGATCCTGCCCCACATTCCTTCCCTACACTTGACCCCTGCAGTGTCTGCCCCACGCAAAGAATGACAGCTATTTATATGTAGGACGTTCCCCCACTATGCACATGCACCCGCTGTAGTTATTTTACCACCCGTCTTTCCCATGCGCTGGAAATTGATCAGAGCCCCCTCTCTTACCAGGAAGAGTCAATTCATCCGTCCCTATACGACGCCACCACTGTGAGAACACTAGAGCATGGCGAGGGTACTCTGCGCCAATACTAAACAAACACTTTGTATTATTACTAAGATCTTATGAGCAGAAGTTCCCATCGTGGAAGACGAGCTATATCAGTACCAACGCTATCGATGGCTGTCTGTCGCCCCTCATAACATTGAGCGGGATAAACCAAAGATGCCGAGAAGCTGGCCGCGCGATATCGCAAGTTCCGGCTGCCGGCACTGATCGATGCCGCCAGCGAAGTAGCCGGTAGTGATGCTTCCAACTGTAAAGCCATCTGCGATGACGGGCCTACGGTATAACTGATACTGCATGACAGGTACCAAGGTTCTCAAATGCATCGAAGGGCAATACAACAAGGCCTTGATCCTGTCGATGGACAATGGTCAGGAAGTGGTGGCCCGGCTACCCAATCCCAACGCCGGACCGAAATTCTACACTACCGCATCGGAGGTGGCCACGCGTCAGTTTGTGGGTGTCTATTTGCCCTATCTACAGATTTGATTGCTAATTTGGACCTTTCAGCTCCGAGATCATCTCGCTATCGCCGTCCTTCGAATCTACGCGTGGCCTGCAGATGAGACAAATCCAGTTGGGGCCGAGTACATTCTGGAGGAGAAAGCGGCTGGGCAACCGTTAGGGTTGCTGTGGAGCAATCGGCCGTCCTTGGCTCGTGCGCACCATCATCGACCAAGTCGTCGACATCGAGCGGAGGCTTCTGTCTCTTACTTTCCCACGGCATGGGTGCATATACTTCCAGTCGGACCTCGAGTCACGACCAGAACATCCCGGTTCCGTTCCAACACAGAGCCCAGACGGTGGAAGTTGGCCCGCATTTGCCCTCGGTCCGCTGACCCATCCACGGTACTGGCACGGCCAAATGGGAAGAGTGCCGATGAACCTCCACAGGGGGCCATGTAGGTTGCTCTTCTATAACCATTCGTCCTTTCAGCCTTCTGACACGTATGAATACATAGTCAAAAACATGGTGGAGTATGGCGGAGCCGTCGCACAGAATGAGATCCGATGGGCGCAGGCGCACGCACAACCGAGAATGAACGTCCGGCGATCAGAGGAGCAGCTAGAGACAGCAGATGAGTACGTCGTTTTGCTGGAGCGGTAAACAAAGCTCGTGCCCTACCTGCTCCAGGAACCTCATGGTCATGAATCCCCAAACCAGCTGTCGCATCCTGATCTACACCTGGGCAACATCTTCGTGGACCCAGCAACCAACAACATCACAGCCGTGATCGACTGGCAGCATGCGGCCGCTTCGCCAGTTGATCAACATCCGCTGATTCCGCAGATACTGGAGCCAACGACAGGCGAAGGCGACGACTCACTCCGACAGTTTTACCTCGTCAAACTCAAAAGTCTGAATCCCAGGCGATGGGAGGCGCTTACTGGACCGGGTCACAAACTCAGAATCAAACCTACCCGGCTGGTGCCGGCTTGCTGGCAGCGCGATGACCTGTTCTCCCTCCGCCACTCACTCATCGCAGTAGTCGCTCGTTGGGACGATATATGCACCAGTTCAATCAAATGTCCGGTCGATTTCACTATTCGAGAGCTCCAGCAACATGACGAAGAGATGGAGCTTGTCGAGGGTGTTTCATTGGTCTTGCGCCAGATTCAAGAACAAGGGCTTCTCCCTCTGGGCGGCATGGTTCTGTGCGACCGGTATGAAGACGCTCAGAGATTGAGCCAGCATTTCCGGAATCAGTTCATCGCATTGGGGGAGGATGCGAAACAGAGGCAGGTACTCGCCAAGATCTGGCCCTATTCGTGATTTTCTAGGCTGGGTTTTTTGACGAAGAAAAAAAAGAAAGAAGCAAAAAGAAACAATAACAACAACGCCCCATTTCCAACCAACTACCCCGGAAGTAGATGAAATGGATCCCAGTACACCTGGCACATAAACCCACCAGAACCCGAATTCCTCATCAAGATGACCACCCCATCCCATCCACTAAGGTAGACAACCGAAAGACCTAAAACGGCCAGACCGCCCCCATCTCCTCCCCCTCCACCACCACCGGTCTCGCCTGCACCATCACCGAAGTCAACCTCGCCCACTCATCCGACGGATTCCCCCACTTGTGCATGGTCCCCCTCTGCACGACCGTATCGCCCGCCTGCAGCGTCACCGTGGACCCGTCATCCGTGCTCAGCGTGACCACGCCGCGGGTGACGGTGACATAATCGAGGGTGATGGAGCGGTGCATCGGGCCCTCGTACCGCGGGGGCAGATCGTAGGTGCAGAAGACGGAGCCGCCGGTTGTTGCGGCGGTTGAGTTGGGTTCGATCTTGGTTGGGTCCTGGTCGATGGTGGCGGGGATCTCGGCGGAGGACCAGAGCGGGTTGAGGCAGGTGCCGTCGTCGAGGGCGGTGGGTGCTTTGGGGGCGTTGATGGCGATGGTGGCGGTGCGGGAGGGGGTGTGGGTTGTGATGATGCGGCGGGTGTTTGGGGGTGGAGTCGGAGGATGTTGAGATGAGGACATTTTGGAGGGTAGGGGTTGATGAGACTGGTTGGGTCGTTGAAGTTATGGAGGTGACAGGATGTGTGAATAGTCGATTGTCCTGTGGCTGGACTATATAGGATTCACAGCATGTAATGTGCCTAGTCTAGGCTGCTCGTCTTCACAGACCGAGTAAGAGCGAATCAAGCCGACGCACAGTGGGTCGGTGATGATGACAGCTTAACGCCGACTGATGAGGACCCTGTCGCTAAGTCCATGGATATCTCCGTCTTGGCCTAGCAAATTAGTGGGGCACGCACTACAAGGATGGTTCCGGCTTGCCGAGAGTGGGGCTTCGGTTTCATTTCCCGGGCGCATGAGATCATGAGTGGTTTGCCTGCCGGAGCTCCCTGCACAACCGAGAGTGTATTTAGGAGCGTGCCATCCGCTGCGGAGTACATCAGAGCTCTTCTGAAGGATTGAAAGATTTTCCAAAAATCCTCAAATATAGCACTATGAGCAAAACCTGGCTTATCACCGGCGCATCGTCCGGTCTTGGAGCCGCCCTAGCTCACCATGTCCTCCGAGCAGGCCACAAGGTCGTCGGTGCGGTGCGGAATGTATCCAAGGCGCAACAAAGCTACTCTCACTTTGAGGAACTAGGAGGCGTATGGGCGCAACTCGACGTGACGGACCCCCAAACGAAAGAGCATGTTGCGCGCCTCTCCCGCGAGCATGGAGGGTTTGACGTTGTGGTGAACAACGCCGGATACTCCATCCTGGGCAGTATTGAAGATATGAGGTAGGCCTGAAACACATGAGCCCTGGGTGAATGCTTGTCTTTCTGGATGGTTTATGCTGAATTGGGGTACTACCTGCAGCGAGACCGAAATCCACCAGCAGATCGACACAAACCTCTACGGCCCGATCCGCGTCATCCAGGGCTGCCTCCCCTCCATGCGCGAGAAGAAGACCGGGTGTATCGTCAACATCTCCAGCGTCGCGGGCCTGATCGGTCGTCCCGCTACCGCGTTATATTCCGCCAGCAAGTTCGGTCTTGAAGGTTAGCCATGATCCCAGAGGGGCTTTCCGGACTAGACTAACAAGTTATATTACAGGTCTTTCGGAGAGTCTAGCCGCAGAGCTCGCCGAATTCGGCATTCGGGTGCTCATCGTGCAGCCTGGCGGCTTCCGCACCGGGTTTCTCTCCGCGTACGTAAAACCCGCCGCGGGATTGAACCCGGCGTATGAGAGCAAAGCGCTGGGAGAAGCGATGCAACGTTACGACACGGTTGACGGGACGCAGCGGGGTGATCCGGAGAAGGCGGCCGCGCGGATCCTCGACGCCGTCGAGCAGCAGGGTCTCTGCGCCGGGGCAGCTTCGTATATCCGCATGCCGCTGGGGTCGGATTGTTATGCGGTGTTGCGGGGTAAGGTTGATGGGCTGAAGGAGAATATGGATAACATGGAAGCGATTGCGCATAGTACGGATTATACCCAGTGAGGCTGTGAAAGTGTCTTTTTCAAGTAGAGGTTTCGACTTGTGGATCGTCGTTGCGGTAGGCATAGTTTATGTTGAATAGTATCAAAAAGATTTCTATCCGATCGATTTTAGTAGCGTGATCCATTATTATAGATATGGCAAAGTCGAGAGGTCAAGAGTTCACACAGGGTGTCATGGGGGAAAGCATTTATCTTTCTGACGTGAACCCAAGCAAGAGTAACATATGAGGATTCATCCGAAGAGGACAATTGATGTATAGGCTTCGTGATATTGTGAGACAGATTCTACTTGAGTTTCGTCGCCCTGTTGTGCTCAAGGAGAGCCCTCCTATGCACTTTGTGCCATTTCTAACACAATGGTTTCGGATTGGTTGATTCCTGCTGGCCGTACCAATACGTCCAATTGCTAAGAGGTTCTATTTCAATGCGGAGCCAAGCACCCACGCCTGTTTTTGATAGGCGCTACAATTAAACCATTCCCCACTGATCCACATATTTCGACCCTGAATTCGGAGTTAAGGTCAGCATATCCCAGCCGCCTCCCGCGTCATCGTTCCGCAGACATGCACGTACATACATTACCCACCATGCACCTTAAATCTTCGTCTCCTGCTTGTTACCAGAGAGCAAGTTAAGGTCGCTCTTCCTCAACGCTATCCCCAACCACCACAAGAATTAACACATGGCAGCGAGCATGTCCACCCATCAAGGCAAAGTCTACGCCATCACCGGCGCCGCCTCCGGCATCGGCCACGCCATCGCCATCCACCTCGCCCACCTCGGCGCCCGCCTTGCGATAACCGACCTCTCCCAATCGGGTCTCGACGCCCTCGTCACTGAACTAGAGCCCCTCATCGGCAAGACAAACATCCTGGCCCGCCCCGCTGACATCTGCGACCGCTCCGCCGTTGAGTCCTGGCTCGCCGCCACCGTCACCCACTTCGGCCGTCTGGACGGCGCAATCAACACAGCGGGCGCGCACCCGCGCGAATCCGGCCAGCAACCCGTCTGGAACGTGACAGACGAGGATTGGGATTTCGCCCAGCGGGTCAACGTGCAGGGCACGCTGAATCTCGTCCGCGCCGCGCTGAAGTACATGGTAGATGCGGTCGGTCGGCAGGAGATCTCCACAGGGTCCGTCGTGGTCTTCGGTAGTAATGCGTCGGTCACGGGGGCGCCGAACCTGTCGGCATACACGACGAGTAAGCATGCGGTGCTGGGGATCATGCGCTCCGCCGCGATGGATGCGGCGCCGTATGGGGTGCGGGTAAATGCGGTTTGTCCGTGAGTCTTTCTTTTCATTCTTGAGCTTTTGCTGTGGGTGTGTAACGCGAGATCGCTGATGGTGGTTGCAGGGGTCCGATTGATACACCTATGTTGCGGAATGCGGTCTCGGAGAGTCTGATGAAGACGCTGGTCAACGCTATTCCTATGAAAAAGGTGGGGACGGCAAAGGAGGTGGTAGGGCTAGTGACTTATCTGCTGGATGAGAGCTCGGGGTTCACGACCGGAGGTGTACACATGGTTGATGGGGGGATGACGGCGGCATGATGACAATGAGAATTTGTGCAGAGTCAATCGGAAAGGTCTTGTCTGCAACCATCCCTGTCAAACCTTATCGTGGTGATATGGCTAGAAAGGACAGCCGTGGCTACGTTTTATTTAGTTGAAGGTTGTTTTGGATGACTGATATTGCAGTCGGTATTTGGCCTCATCGTGCTACTGGCAGGCATCCGTCGTCATGGTTGGGTGGTGAACATGGCTAGGGAAAAAGAAGATGGCATAGGTAATATGAACAAGGAGGACGGGGCATGGCCTTGGAGAATGCAGACGAAGCGAGTGAGACATTCTCACACCGTCTGCTCGAACCTCCTTGTCAGTCATGCGGAAGGCTGCCCTAAGCCAGTGTAGCCAGACACGTGGTACAAAATTAAGTATCCTGAAACCAGCATCTGTGTTCCATCAATTGGCCAAGCACATGGCTTACTGCATAGTTATGGAATGTCAAGCTGGAATCAAAGGATCTTTCAGCCTCCCGAACTATAGAACGCAAATCGACAGTTGTGCGTCGGAAGTGCAACCTACCACTGTTCGCATTGTGAATGGTATTGTCACAGCCGACTGCCGTGAACGCGAGCTCCTGCTATGCGGCTTATACAGGCTTTGCCTTTAAAAGCAGAATCCGTGATGTTGCTGGAAATGTACACAGGAAAGTCCCACCAACATTCAACACCGCGATGAATGAATCTGAAAGACCAACTCATAACGCGATTCAATAAAGGAACACTGCAGTATCATTCTCAAAGGTGGCATGTGGTTTACCTACGTTATAAATACAGCTCCAGTGCTCGCAGTATCTCTCCTGGAAATCTAACCTCCGACTCTTTCTAAACCCAAACCAACTGGAGGACTCATTCCCTGCCCCGACCACCATCACACCACGCGCACGGTACGAACAACCACTATGATGAACATCTCCTATCCAGCTCTGGGCGTCCTCGCTCTTGCAGCCAGCTGTGCCTCCGCGGGGCCAGCAGCCTGCGGGGTCTGTCAGACCGGTTGCGCCGCCGTCGTGATGGCATGCTACTCAGCGGCAGGATACACATGGGGAGTCGCGCTCGGAGCCGGGGTCCCAGCGACAATTCTCGCCTGCAACAGCGCCTTTGGGACCTGTCAGTCCGCCTGCGCTGCCGTGATCTTGGCTCCACTTTTCTGGGCGTCTAAAGCATGCAGACCGTCTGATCGACCTGTCTTGTTTCTCGGTACGTGCAACCTTTTGAGCTGCCATAGTGGGGAAAGAATATGTGGTCTCTATTTGTCGGCCTTGAGTAACCAGTCAAACCCGCCCGTCATCACCGGGGAAAGAAACGGTCTTCCATGCTGGAGCAAAGTGGATATCCCGAATGCACTGGGGAGGAATCAAGGAGGAAAAATTTGAGAGGATGTTCTATGCCACTTATCAATGATGAATTCAAACATGCTTGACCAATGATAATTTTCAGTCCACTAGTAACATTCTGCAAGTCGTGCTGGACAGTAGCAGTCGTCAGTTTGAAGATTCATGAAGAAGTAAAATGCCCTTGGTTAGTAATCAAAAGACCTTGGAGGTAACTACTAAGTACTAGTAGTAGGTACCCACTGCTCCGCAAATGGCCAATTGATGCAGGTGTCTAAAAGAACAGAATATTGATTGGCTGGCGTGTTTGGCGTATCCGGCGTGTTCAGCGTCTCTGAACTTGGCTTTTTCACCCCACTAGTAAGGTATTTACGTTCAGTATGCCAAGAAGAGGGAATCTCAAAGTCTATAAATTCGTAGTCTTATCTGGCAGAAGAATAAAGTCCATCGAGAGCACGGAAGAATGCTCACGTCTTATTGCTTATAATCCAACATGACTGCCAAACCCATTTTCAAGCAATACTATCTTCCCGAGAAGAAGGGCTTCGCTAGTCTCGTGGTGCGTGAAGTGCCTAAAACTTTCCCAAAATTCGGTCAGATTCTCGTCCGCATCAAGGCCGTGTCCCTGAATTGGCGCGACGCAATTATTGCCATGGGGACCTATCCTTTTCCCGGACCCGATGCTCTTGTGCCTGGCAGCGACGGCGCAGGTGTGATAGATCCTCTTTTAGTGTCTTCCTTGCACAGTGCGGCCCTAACATCTGCGTAAACAGGTATCATCGAGGCAATTGGCGAAGGCGTCACACAATGGAACGTGGGCGACCGCGTCCTGGCCAATTTCACGCAGGACCACCTCGCCGGGCGACTGACCAAGGCAGGCCTCCTCTCGCAACTCGGGGGTGAGATCCAAGGCCTGCTCGGCGAGTACTTCATCTTCCCTGCGCTAGGGGTGGTCCGGATCCCAGACTACCTGAGCTTCGAGGAGGCGTCGTGCCTGCCCTGCGCCGCGCTGACGGCCTGGAACGCGCTGTACGGGCTGGTGCCCCTCCGCGCAGGGCAGACCGTCCTTCTACAAGGCACTGGAGGAGTGGCCACCTTCGGCCTGCAGATCGCGCATGCAGCGGGCGCCACCACGATCGTCACCTCTTCGTCGGAGGAGAAACTGGCCAAGGCCCGGGCCCTCGGCGCGACGCATCTCCTCAACTACCGGACGCACCCCGACTGGGCGGCTGAGGTCATGCGGCTCACGCGTGGGAACGGGGTCGACCATATTATTGAGGTCGGCGGCACCCTAACCCTGCAGCAGTCATTCGACGCGATCGCGCTCCACGGACTGATTCACTGCATTGGACACATTACCAACCCCGATCCCCTGGGCAAGGGCAAGGAGCTCCTCGGTCCGGACGCAGCGTTCCTGGCGCTGGATCGAGTCTGCATCGTGCGGGGCGTGGTGGTGGGATCGCGTGAACAGCTGCAGGAGATGCTCGCGTGCTTCGAGGCGCATGCAATCCGGCCGGTCGTTGACCGGGTGTTTGGGTTCGAGCAGGCCAGGATGGCCTATGAGTATCTGTGGAACTCAAGCCATACGGGGAAAGTGGTGATTCGTGTGCCGTGACATAGATCGTCGGATGTTACTGTAGGGAGTATTGCATAATGCATTCGGGTCTCGGGCTGCGTATGTATACAATTACAGTATCCGGCTATCCGACCCACTTCCGAGTTAGGAATAGCCATCATTGTAACCCCGCCTCATATCAATCTCTCCATCCAGCACCAACACAACACTCCTCCTTACTCTACATATACTCTTATACTCAGTATCAAGCAACCATGCATGACACAGTTGCCTCTAGAATAAGACGACGCAATGGTTCCAAGCACGACCGAACGGGCTGTCTGACGTGCCGTTACAGGTATGCACGCAGGTCTCCCCCTCCCCTCATTCTAACTCGACATCGACACTCATCCTCGCATAGACACAAGAAATGCACTGACAACACTTTCCCGGAATGCGGAGCATGCATCCGCCTCAACCTCAAATGTGTGAGAGAGCCCAAACGTCAGATTGCCCCTGACCCACGGGCTCAGCCCGGTGAATCGAGCACCGCGCCCTCCGTCCGAACAGTGGATTTCTTCCACGACTGCCACCCCTTCGCCATCCAAGAGACGAATCGATCCTCTATGCGGCAGTACGCAATGAAATACTACATCAACGTTATGACCCAGGTGTTAGCAGTCAGCCAGCAGTACAACTCCTTTCTCTCCGGTGCGAGCTGCTCCCTCGCCAGACTTCATCAACCACACCGCCACTGACCAAAGCCTACCGCACAGAATTCGTACCATTGTCCGTCGACTCGCCCGCTCTGTCGGGTGCATTGATCTCCTGGGCGTCAGGCCATCTAGCCGCCGCAGCAGACGAGCGCTACCGCATCACCGCGCTAGAAGCGCGATCCACCGCCCTCGGCCATCTGGCATCAGCTCTATCCGATCCCTCCCCGCACAACGATGCCGCCTGCACTCAAGTAGCCACCTGCCTTGTCCTCCTGACCTCGGAAGTATGTCTCGGCAACCAGACCGGATGGTATGCCCACCTTCTCGGCGCAAAGAGCATCATCCTCTCCGCCGCCGCCACAACCTGCAGCGGAGTCGCCGGCCCCGACGCCCTCAAATCCACCCCGGAAGGCCAGTGGATCCTCCGCAATTTCGCCTACCACGATATCCTAGGCAGTGTTACGCTGGGCACGAAGCCGCTACTGCGCGCCGATTACCTCCACGGCATCACGGACGGGGTGGTGGATACGTATCTGGGCGTGGCGGCAGGAATCCTGCCGCTGATCGCGGAGATTAGTTTTTTAGACCCTTCTCCGGGTAGGGATAGTGGCACACTGGTGTCATTTTCCAATCATAACCATGACCAGGAAGTGCATGTATCATGCACTGAGATCGAGCACAAGCTGCTGGCCTGGCGGTGCCCCAGCACCGCCTCCCCGTCGCTGGTCGCGTTGGCATACGCCTACCGCGGCGCCGCCCGGATCTATCTGTACCGGCGGATGCGGAGCTTTCTCCGCTGCCACAGCAACAGCTTCTCACGCGGTGATGCTCTTCAGAGTGGGTATCAAGACAACACGCTAGAAGTCAAGATGGCAGCCGCCGTGGCCGAGACCCTGGCCCACATCCAGGGAATCCCCTGGGCCGAGCAAGTTGAATCCGCGCTGTTGTTCCCGCTCTTCCTGGCCGGCGGAGAGGTGACGACGCCTGCCGCGATGGCGGTGATCCGCCAGCGCCTTGAGCTGATGTTCGCGCGTCGGCGGTTCGAGAATATTGCGCTCGCACAGGCTACCCTGGAGGAGGTGTGGGCGCATCGTCTGAGGGAGGCAGGGATAAGTTCACTACCAAGTGGCGGGGGAGATTGGGAGGAGGTTCTCGCCAGACGGGGGGGTCAGCTTTTGTTAACTTGAACTCTCACTGCTTGTTATTCTGACGAGAGTATGCCGGCATCCGGGGAATAAACCCGGTATTTATGGAATCTAGAATTACGCACCGTATATGCACTGCATCACATTTGCAAGCTACCCCCGCAACACCAGGCCCAACACGACCACCATGCAATCCCTGTATTGTACATCACCCACCTGCCTACTCCCTCAAAATCCCCCGGATAGCCTCCTTCAACTCCTCCTCCCCCATAACCCTCAACCCCAACCGTTCATTCCAATTGAACTCCATGAAATCCCCACCCCGATACCCGTCCCCATACATCATCTGAAAATAATAATTAACCACCACCGATTGATCCCCCTGCATCAACTTCCTGTCTGACTCCGCGATCAGCTCCTTGACGGACACCTCCTCCGACGCCCCGAAATCCGTCCCCAGCACCTCCGCAACCAGCCGCGTCAGCTGCCGCTCCGTCACCGCGGCCGAGCAGATATACACCGGCTGGTTGGCCGCGGCCTCGAACGAGCCGTCCTCGAGGAGCCGGACCACCGCGGCGGCAATATCCGCGAGCAGGGAGACGGCAATCGGCTTGTCGCCGCCGTCGTGGAAGACGGCTTTCCCGGTGATCGGGTTGGGACCCAGCACCCCGTACTGCAGGGCCATGTCGAAGAAGGCGCCGTTGTTGACGGAGGTCCACGTGGTGGGTCCTGCGGCGTGGGGCAGCGCGGAGGTGAGGTATTGCCGGATGAGGACCTTCTCCCGCGCGACGGGGAGAGTGGTGGCGAGTGGGGACTCGAGCATGGTGGTGAATTCGGAGGGGATGAAGCGTTTGATGCCGGCGGCGATGCAGGCGTCGATGATGGGTTTCTCGGTGGTGAGTTGGGGGAAGGGGACGGCGCTGCGGGGGGGCGGGGGTTTAGTTGGTATGGATTGTGGAGGGAATAGGAGATTTGAGATGAACGGACCTGATAACGACGTCCTGGCCGGTAAAGGTGGCGATCAATTCGGCTTGGTTGTGGTAGTCGACCTTGACGGTTCTCAGGCCTTCGGGGCCCGCTTTGTTGGATTCTGGGCGCTGCAGCGCGGTGACTTCGTGGCCTGCGGCTGCTAGAGCGCTGGCGATGCGCGAGCCCAGCGTTCCGGTGGCCTGGGAGATACGGTTAGGGACATGATGAGAGTGGAGGGGATGAACCCGGTTGGGGTGTGGATAGCATACTCCAATAATAGCGACTTTTCTGACGGTGGCCATTTTTCTAAGGTTCTAAGGTGACAGATTAGGTTTGATACAATGGGGTGAGTGACAGGATTCAGATAAACTGTAGTCACGTTGTCTTGGAACAGAGACACGAACTAGGGCAGGCGTCCTGGCCATCTATATAGATAGCTGCGAATTGTATCCAGGGTTATCCCAGCACTCTCCGACGAGAGCAACCGGTCAACCTTCGGGATAGATCTCGGTCCCGACGCGGGCTCGAGATTAAGGCCGAAACTTACTCCCGAGGCTGTGCTTGATAAGCATCTCGGACAGGCTTGATAAAGTCGGTGTTTCGGAGCGCATGCTTAGTAGTAGCTGATTAGTAGAAGAAGAAGAAGAAGAAGAAGAAGACACATCCCTTGCTTCGTCTTGCTATGTGGGTCTTGCTTGGATCGGCGTGTAGACCGGGTGTGGACAACAGGACTTCCCGTCCGCACAGTCGGCAGCCGTAATTGAGTCAAGAGATTAATTCCAGAGTAGCACACGCAGTCTAGCGGATTGGCGGCCGATTTCTCCGCAAATTTTGATCAATGGTTGGCCAACGTTGAATTGACATTGTTATGGGGCAGGATGATTGGTCATAGGGGACAAGGCTTAGATTGTCTCCATTCCAAATTACAACTGTTGCTGCTTAGATATAGCTTATGTTGGGATTTCCATGGCTTTCGTAGAACCATGGACTTCTCACTAGGGGTGGGGGCCTCACCTTACTTTTCCTTTTTAGATAGTATGCCTGCGGTAGGTGCCTAGTAGTGAGGTGGCTGATCGCTAGATAAAGGGTACTACTACAACACCTACGAAGGAACATGATTGTCACAAGCATTCAGCATGCAAGAAACTGGGTCCAAGGCGCCGAAATAGCTCGCGTAATAGACAATAGACTATCTCGAGTCGAATTCTTTTATACACAGCTACAACAACGGTTGTTCCAATGTCGCGACTTGGAAACGAGCAGGTGTATACCTGTACCACGAAATCAGGTCCCAAACCACTCCAGCAAGGTCGTACACTGGTGGCAAAACATCACCATTCAAACCCTACTAGCATGCATAGCGGGGGACAGTGTGTACATGGTCGGTGAATAGACGCTGCTTGCGGTGTTGCTGTGCAGAGAGGTCAACCGATCCTTTGCGTTTTCGAAGAATTTCTGCTCTGCTGAAATCAATGAGCATGACTCGCGCTGCCTCTTCGTTCCATATAAAGTTGGACATGTGCAATTCAAGGTGCAGAACACCAGCTTCGCGGACCTCGGCTTCTGTATCATTCATGCAGTGCTGTAAACGTGGGCGATCTGACTCTCGTAGTGCGCGGCCGCCCCACGCCATGAGTGAGAGGTGAATAATCTCTCGTCCGGAGTCAGTATAATAGGTACTTTGCAAGTAGACATCGCCGAGGTAGATGGGGACAGCAAATCCTTGTAGGGATTCAAGTTTTCTGTACATGATACTTTCACGATCTGAGTGATGGTCGGTACCTTTCCCAATCATGGCATAACCATGCGATTGTAATTGGACGGCAAAGATAGAGCCGTGTATGCCCTCTTTTCCGAGAGGAGTGCAGGAGTCCAAATCCGCATTTAGTTGCTGTTCAACAAGCTTGATCATGGTATCACGGGATATAGTCTGTCGCCGGTCATCTGATTTTCTCCGGTGAAGATCCACATTGGGGCATTTATCATCAAGTTCTGACTGATGTACAAGTCCCCGCAGACATAATTGTGTGCAGAAAGTATACTTTGATGTCTGACCAGGCACTCGATGGCTTTGGTGTGAAGCGTTCGATGTCCGCTGGCGTTTACCACGGTCCTGAATCGGAGAGGATAGGGGGTGTTTCTGGCCTGAATCCGATTCACCTGAAGAATCTGGTGATGGGCTCCTATAGGGCTGCACCGGACTAGAATCACCTCGAACACGTAGGCGTAAGAGATATGGTGACCGATTGTTGATGGGATAAATTGGCTCCCGGTATTCTAAGCCTAGTGGACTTGTCTTGCGTTCTAATTCTAGAATCGAACGAAGCGCACGTTCAAAATCGATTTCCCATAGGCTTGATGCGGCAATGGTTTCATTCCGCCATGCTTGGCTTCGTTGGGGTGATCGAATTGCCATGAGAGTCAAGCTTAACTGGTAGCCAATAGCCGTATAAGGGAAACGGAAACCACAGCCATCAGTGGACTTCGCCTCAGCATCCCGGCTCGGTTCAAGGAGGTCATACTCTAGTACATCGGGATTGTTCTTGGGGATCCGAAGGATAACTTTCATATGACCGTTTGTTAGTAGGCCGTATTCGAGGCCTGATTTCATCATATACTCATAGATTTGTGTAACGGCGGCAAATGACAAGAAAGCAGCGTCGTAACAAAGTTTCTCATCAGGATCTGTTGGTATTGTAACCCGCTGGACAACTTCCTCCACCATGTTCATCTGTCGAAGGCCAGCTCGGAGGAAGGCATCAGTAAGCTTGTGCGCAGCTTTCTATTCAATAATATAAGCCAAGCTCCGCGTATCGCCGGATTTTTGATACACACAGTGTCGATCCGCTGGAGGTCGCGCAGGTTTCATTTGCTCCTTACTCGTTGGAGGTCGCGCGGGAGTCATCTGATCTGGATTCTCTGTGACCGTGTTGGAATGGTTTTCGAATATGATCCCTTCACCAAGGAGAAATGGACGTCGGTGTTCTGGAAGCTGAAGCAGCTTTTCAAAGATCTCCATAACAGGATTTTCAACTTCTGCCTTTTGATATTGCGCCAGGTCTGCTTCACTTGCTAATGGATATCTGCATGCCTGCTTCCCTGTGTATTCAATAATAGGCCTCGAAGGAAACAGTCGCAAATCAGATGGAGAACTAAAGCATTTGTAAAGCTCGTCGAAGACATCTTATTGTGCTTTGCGAAAATCAAACGGTCGAAGGAAGGTCGGGCATATGCGGCCGGTCGGATCGGTGATAGAGCCTTTGGTAGTGAGTGATCGTTTGGTCTGGATGGTCATGGGCACCGTAATGAAGTCATGGCAAGCTTGGAGGTATTCTGCAAACGTAGTATTCTGATTTTGCTTTTCCACTTTTTCTGCGCGCTCTTTCTCCTTTGTTGCAGCCTCCCTTGCCTGTTTCAGTATAGCGCGAAGCTCGTCTTTGCTCGGTGATGCGTCAGTCTCCATCGCATCGCGGTATTTGGTGCTGCTCTGGAGGAATGGCTAGCTTGAAATGGCCCTCCTTAGAGATCTAAGGCCGATAAGAGCAGTGGTGGGGAATGATGGAATGAAAGTCAACTGTCAGTCAGATGCGATTCTCAAGTTAGTCGTACGAAGAAGGAAGCTTCTGGTCTTCATAGGTAGACACAGGAATAGGAAGATTGCTGTAAGGGTATGACGGTAGTGACTAATCATCTAAGGAACATTCACTGGTCTGTACCTAGTACGGTTATTTCGAGGCCAGAAATAGAATCGCAGAAGTTGTTCCCGGTTACCGTTGACCCACAAAATAGCTCGAGCAGTGGAGCCATGAACAGGAACAGGAACAACTTAGTTTAGCGTGATCCGACTAAGCGTCATGTGACATCGCCTGACCCACCCTTGGTTGTTACTCTCTAAGTTATAACTTAAAACTTACAACGCACGAAAAGAGAGAACAACAATAGGTACAAATCACAACGCTCCACTATCTCGAGCTCAAAATGGGTTGATCTTCAGAAGAGAAGAGTCATGACTACACATCAAGGTCATGTTTATCTATTCATCAGGTGACTCACAAGGGCTAACTAGCCAAAGGCTCGGTTTGATCCCTGTATACGCATACTTCGCATACTTCTCACCACCAATCTCTTACACAACCCGCTCCCTCTATCATGGAGGAACCCCTGCGTCCCAACAAAGCAGACTTCAACCGAGGTCTCCGCGAAAGCTATCAGCAATGGTCCTCCTATATCACCCCCCCCCCCCCAAATCTCCCCTCCCTCCTCCCGCAGGAATGTCTCAATTTAAAGGGCCTTCTGCAGCGAACGCCTTCCTTCCTCGGATGCGGCCTTTTTCCTGAAGATACTCAGATTCCTCTAAGTCTACTAGAAATAGAATCTCGAGAAGGCCAGTACACTCTAGTCACGAGTTGTCGCTCAATCTGGCGGACATCCACCAACCCCGAACAATGTCCCCTGCCCCCCAAAGCCATGCCTGCCCGGCTTGTAGTGGGCGTGCAGAGCTCACTCGCCGTGCATCTGTCCGACTCGGCACCTTTGGCAGCGTGGCCGGGTACTCAGGATCAGCCGGACCAGGACGAAGGTAGTTACCTTGCCGTCCTATTCCTAGCCTGGGCGTATATCCTGTCTGCGCGGTGGGCGGAGATCATGGCGAGGGTGTCCGGGTGTACAGTTCCATCCTCGCATTCTGACGAGCATCCATCCGACGGGCACCTCACGATCACTATCCCGCTGCAATCGAGCTTGGCTACAATACCGACGCCGACGAAACAAACTGGGGGAGATCCATCCTCTCCGGAACCAGTGGCAGGAGCCCAAGAACAGCAGAGTACAACCACCGGCCCTACCTCTCCCCCTGGTCCGTCAACCTCACAAAAACATCCCGCATCGCTATCACAGACCACCAACCCCGCGTACCTAAACCCACCCAGCCCCCGCCACCATCATCCCACACAACTCTAGAATACCTCACCCGCTTCAGCACCCACCACCGCCTCCACGCCCAAACCTCAGCAGCCCTAGCAGCAGCCCTCTACATCCCATTCCTCCAGGGAAAGGGAAAAGCAATCCCCCCCTCAACCCCCGGCCAACCCCTTCCCCTGTACCCACCGCCACTCCCCACTCCCACACAAACCCAAGCCAACGAAAACCCCAACCCCATCGCAACCCACGCCCTCCTCCCATATTACATGACCCTCAGCACAAGCCCATGGGGCATCTGCTCCCTCCTGCACAGCACATTCTTCAATCGCGACATTGAGTGCAATGTCGTCAGCGCGTGGCTCAACCCCGCCTTCGCGATCATCGATCCGCTCCTTCACGCGAGTAACCTGCCCGCGCTGCTGCGCGTCCTCGCGCGTAGAGCGCCCCAACTCGGGGGCTTATGGGTCGGTGCATTTATTGTAAACGTTGCTGGATCCATTCTCCGGGATGTGCGGAATGGGATGGCGGCGCTGGATTTGGATGCTGCTGCGTGGACTGGGGGGGATGTCTCGTTTCTCACGGCGAGGACAGAGGTGAGCGAAGGGGGTATCGTTCGGCGGGAGGATGAGTGTCGGTTGCTGTTTTTGACGAGTCACGAGGGAGAGGGAGAGGGAGTGGCTTGGAGTAGAGCGCCGGTTCATCCGTGGAAACCTTTGGGGGTGACGGTGCTGGGTGAGGCTGAGATGCAGGTGCGGATGCATGCGTCCTGTGGGTGTCACTGTTTGGAGTATCGGGGGTGGAGGTGGGGGCTTGTCGATGGTGGGGAGATTGAGGATGCTGGTGTAGGGCTTGTGGGGGATTGTAGGGTTGAGTCAGGGGGGTGTGATGTACTAGACCAGCGTCAATTCGAGCTGCTTGATCCTGAGGCACTGGGTTCAGAGGCGCTGTCGGAGGTGGCTACGCGTGGGATCTTCGGCTGGCTGCGCTCGAGGGGGTATCCTGCGAGCGAGAGGGCCATTTATCAGCACGAGTGGGTGGATCTGGCGAGTTCGGACGATGAGCATGAGCAGGGACAGGAGGTGGAGGATGTCGCATCTGGTGCTTCTGAGGGGAGGATAGGCTCCCGTGGAGTCATCCATGAATGGCTTGGCGATTGTGTATAGACCAGAGTGAGACTAGCGAGTGCAAGGACTGTAGAACTGGGAATTAATGCTGCAGATTGTAGCGCTGGTAAAGTACAAGCACATCACATCAAGCAAACACCGGCCGAACCTTGCCTGTTGCCCGATCAGCCAACCGCTCCGCCATCAGCGTCCCATACACCTGCCGCGCCCACGCGCAGCACACCTTCCGCGTGTCCTTTGGATCGATGATCTCCTCCACCCCAAACGCATTAGCCGTGCGCACCGGATTCATCAGCCGGCGGTACTCCTCCTCCAACTTTCGGTAATGCGCCGCTTTCTCGCCGCGCTGGTCCGCCTCGCGCAGTTCCTGGCGGTGCGCCACCTCGATGCCCCCTTCCAGCGGCAAGGACCCCCACTGCCCGGAGGGCCAGGCCACCTGCATGACGGGGTCGCGGGCCCCGAGCATCAGACCCCCGGCCACCCCGTAGGCGCGGCGGACGATGACGTTGAACAGCGGCGTCGTGGTGGTGAAATAGGTCTTGCCCAGCTCCACGCCCCAGCGCATCGTGGCGGTGCGTTCGGCGACGGTGCCGATGGCGTAGCCGGCTTTTGTCCATGGGAACGTATTAGCAAAGACCAAAGCCAACTTCACGAACACAAAGGTCTGTAGATGCACAAGGGGAACTCACGAACATCGATGAACTGCAAAACCGGCAGATTCATCACATCGCACAACTTCAGCAAACGGGTCAGCTTCTGACTCCCCGCCGCGTCCAGAGCACCCCCGTTCACCTCGCAATTCAGCGAGATCACCCCCACGGGACGCCCGTCCAGCCTCGCCAGTCCCCCGATCGCCGTGCGGCCCCACAGGGCCCCAATCTCAAACCACGACCCGCGGTCGACCACACTGCGTATAATCGTCCAGGGGTTGTACATCCTAGTCTGGCGGCGGGGGATGATCCGGCGCAAGGCCTCGTCTTCCCGATCGGCCGGGTCCTCGGATTCGATCACGGGGGGCGCCTCGCGGCCGGAGCTGGGCAGGTAGCTCAGCACTGTGCGCAGCTGCTCGTAGCATTCGGCTTCGTTGGCGGCGACGTTGTCGATGGTTCCGTTGGTGCAATGCACTGTGGGGCCGCCCAGCGTCTGGAAATCCAGGCCCTCTTCAAATGTGGCGCCTTTGACTACTTCCGGCCCGGCGTTGAACAGCGAGCCTACGTCTGCGGCCATGACGGAGAAATGGCACGATACGACACGCGCGGCTCCAAGGCCAATCTGCGAGGAGGTCAGTTTCGTTGGCTCAACTTGCGGTCACTTTTCGGAGAGTGGCTTACGGCTGGACCGACAACCGCCCCGAGATTCGGGATCCCCTGGTTCAACTGCTCCACGACGTATTTGTACATCGATACATAGGGCAGATAGCTGTACCCTGCGGACCGAATGAGCGTGACACTGCCGCCCCCGGAGCTCCCGTCGACCAGCTTGACTATCGGTAGCCTCAATGCAAGCGCGAGCTTCTCGATGTAAATGGTCTTCTCGTGCGAGGCGCCATCCGCATGTCCGCTGCGGAGGGTGAAGTCGTCGGCCGTGAGCAGCATACGGCGGCCGCGCAACCGCCCCATCCCTTGGACATTGTTACTCGGTACGAATGCCACGGGCTTCTCGCGCATGGGGCCGGTTTGCTTCCACGTCACGGTGCCGGACAGAGAGCCTATCTCCTGGAAGCTGCCCGGATCAAGCAGAGCGTCCAGTCGCTCGCGCACCCATAGTTTGCCGGCCTGCTTCTGGCGGATGTAGCCTCGTCGCGAGGCATCGGGCGTGGCAGCGATACTGCGGAGAGTGTTAATCTGAGCGAGCACATCCGAGTAGTCGGCCGGTAAATGCGACGCGACCTGGCGCAAACGCTTTGAAGCCGTCGCCGAGGATGGTTGGGTGTCCCTCGTGTCGCTATCGTTACTGTCATCCGGCATTTTGATGGATTGATCGGGAAAGGTTCTGAATTTGTGGCTGGTATATCGCTGCGGAGATGATCACCCGCCAGCTGTGAGGGGTAAGATTAAGTCAGCCCTCAGCCCTCGGCCCCGAGGTCCGAGGATGAACCGCATCAACATAAACAACCACTAAGCCAGACCAACTGCAGAAGCACAATTAATCATCCAAAATGTCAGGACCCCGGCCGTTCACACGACTGCTTGTTGCCAACAGGTATGGTTTCATCTCAACTCAGAAAACCAGATTACTCAACCGAACAGGGGCGAAATCGCGGTGCGGATCATCCACGCAGCCCGTGAGCTGTCACCGCCAATCCAAGTGCTCGCTCTTTACACAGAGCAGGATCGCTCTCACTGCGACCTGGCTCGTCCCGATCAGGAGATTTTGGTGGAATCGCCCGCAGCATATCTGGACATTCCGCTGCTGATCCGTCTCGCGAAAGAGCATGCCGTCGAAGCCGTGCACCCAGGCTACGGGTTCCTGAGCGAGAGCGCTGACTTCGCCCGCCGCATGCACGATGTTGGAGTCACAGTTGTCGGGCCAGGCTGGGAGACACTGGCGCGGACTGGCGACAAGCTCCAAGCCAAGCAACTTGCTGTCGAGTGCTGTGTGCCTGTCTTGCCAGCCACGCCGACCCCAACAGCTGAAATCGCCCTGATCCGAGATTTCGCACGAGAGGTCCAATACCCCGTGATGATCAAAGCAGTCGACGGCGGTGGGGGGCGAGGGATCCGTCTGGTCCGTGACGATGGTGAGCTGGAGCGTGCCGTCGACGCAGCGATGGCAGAGTCACCTTCGCGGACGGTTTTCGCAGAGAAGGCCGCAGTGGACGGATATCGCCATATCGAGGTGCAAGTAGTAGGTGACGGACTCGACGTCTGTCAGCTCGGGGAGCGCGATTGCAGCGTGCAGCGACGGTTCCAGAAGATAATCGAGATGGCCCCGTCTCTAATTCTTGACCGAACTCTGGTGCAGCAGGTGCTGGATGCGGCACTGAGGATGGCGAAGGCCATTCGTTACCGTTCGCTAGGCACTGTGGAGTTTCTGGTCAATGAGAAACAAGAGCAATTCTACTTTCTTGAAATCAATCCACGTCTACAAGTCGAGCATACCATTACAGAAGCGATTCACGGGATCGACCTCGTCCAGATACAGCTGCGACTGGCGCAAGGGAACACACTTGCACAGACTGGTCTAGAGCCCACATCACTGGTAGCTCCTCGTCTGTATTCCATGCAGCTACGGCTATGCGCCGAAGATCCCCATGCCCGCTTTTCACTCAGCTCCGGCAAAGTGACGGAGTTCATGTGTCCTGGTGGCAACGGGGTCAGAGTCGATACCCATGTGAACCCAACTAGTGGGGAACCAGTGACAATTGGCACCCAGTTCGATAATCTACTCGCCAAGATCATCGTGACCGCAACCAGCTGGGATGCTACGGTGCTGAAAGCTCGACGAGTGCTAGCAGACACAAGGATCAGCGGCATCCGCACCAATCTAGATCTGCTGCGCGGGGTGACCGGCCACGACGACTTTCTGTCGCGCAGAATCGACAATCAATGGCTGGAGTCGCGCCTAACGGAAGTTCTCCACATGGGAAGCCATCTGGGAACAAGTCACCGCGAAAAAGCCCATTCAAACGCCAATTTCTCGTCGCTTGTCGGAAACGCAGCGTCGAATCCACTCCTTCGCGGGGGAGACGCATGGTCTGTCGTCCTCGAGCCTCTCCACTCTCCCCAGAAGCAACCCCAGGACACAGACGCCCTGCGTCATCATCTCCGGTTGACGCGCGTACTCCAGAACGACTTCCCCTCCTCCTTGGCCGCCGAAGTCGAGTACACCACCGCCACCTCGTCAGCAGCATATCGCCTCCAGCTCGCAGCCACCACAACTGCAGCATCCGCCTTGGTCTCGTCTACCCAGCGACGCGGGGACACCCGCAACCCACGACACATTGTCCTCCCGCTTTCCGGCAGGCTGATCGAGATCTTAGTGGCGACCGGCGATCAGATAGCCAAAGACCAGGTCGTGGCCTTTGTCAAGCAAATGAAAATGGAGGTGGAGATTCGCAGCCCCCGCGCGGGCCGTGCGCACTGGGTGCATGAGATGGAAGACGACGAGGACGAGGTAGCAGAAGGTATGTTATTGGTCGAACTGGAGGGTAGCGCGGTGAAAGGGAAATTGTGACTTCCTTTGCTGCTGGGTATCGCAGCGCGTGCGGTGGATGACACGCACAACATGCAGGTTCTATAAAAAGGGGAGCCCGCATTCCAGACCCAGGACATTGACATTCTGCATGCCATCGAGTCGGAAGAGTCTAGAAGCGTTCTAGAGCGTGACCTTGCCGACTGCCACGTACCTTGTTCACATATTTCCATGGTTCCCTTGCATTATGTAGATTGTGGGACAGTGCGATAAATATAGTGTGATCTGCGTTCCTTTCATACGGGAAGTGTGATCCAGGAACAAAAATTTCTTGGTGGAGGGACTGTTTGGCAAAAGAATGAAGCCATCTTCGTCAGCACCTAATCTAAACTGTGCTGGGTCTTGAGGTCCTGACCGGGGGGAGGGGGGAGTAGAGTGAGTTTGTGGAAAGGGTGAAGCTGAACAAAGAGGGATGACCTCATCTGCCGCCGTCGGCTCCACTCCAATTCCTCCCCCGATCGTCACATGCAGCTGTGCGGTGCAGCAGTCAACTACGTAGCAGCAACTCCCCGCATTCACCCTCTACTTCCCTCTCATGGTGTCTGTCAATCATACGCAACCTCCATCACGACAACGTTAAGTCAACACCAACATTCCACATATCGGACCAGCCATGGACGCACTAAACCTCTACATTCTCACCTTCAACTGCGCTCGAAATCTCGTGGACGTCGATCGATTCTCCCACCACTTCTTCGACTCCCTTCCGCTCACCGACAATCTCAACGCCTCCTCCTCATCTGTCCCTCCCCCCGACCTTATCGTACTCTCGCTACAAGAGATCGCGCCGATCGCGTACGCCTTCCTCGGGGGCTCATTCCTGACACCGTACTTCGACACGCTGAGCCAGGTTGTGAATCGCGCGGTCGCGCAGCGCTGGGATGATGTGCATTACGTCAATATCGTGACGGACAACTCCGGGATGACGGGATTGATGGTGTTTGCCCGGTCCGACGTGGCAGAGCAAATAGCCTGGCTCGAGACGGCCCGGATAGGCTTTGGGTTCCAGGAGATGGGCAACAAGGGTGCCGTGGGGGCGCGACTCGGATACCTGCCACCATCATCATCAGCCCGGAGGGACGGGGAAGGAGGAGCTGAAGAAACACAGCAACCCGTAGAGCTGACATTCGTGGCAGCGCATCTCGCGCCGATGGAATGGGCGGTTGAGCGCAGGAATGCGGATTGGCGCAGCCTGGTCGAACGGCTGGTCTTTGAGCGTCAGGATAGTTGTGCCGCCGTCGTGGGTCGGGAACATGTCGAGACCGAAGAAAACGCATCGGAAAACGCACCCCTGCTCCAAGAGCGCTCTACAGCAGCGGCTTCGCCGGTCGGGCAACAACAGCAGCAGCAGCAGCACGATCGCCGGGGCATCTACGTCCCTACGAGTTACCTCTTTCTGGCAGGAGACCTCAATTACCGGACGGCCGACCGACCGCCCAAACCGGGCGATCGGACGAGCAGATTCCCCCGGGTGAATGTAGAGACGTCGGACCCGCGCCATTACTCGCATCTGCTCCAGGAGGATCAGCTGAGTCGGGAGAGGGCCCAGTCGCGGTGCTTTCAGGGACTGTCGGAGGCGCCGATCAGCTTTCCTCCGACATACAAGTACAGCCTGGCGGCACGTTACGCCGTGAGTAAAGCGGTGGGCGGTGATCACGCATTGTCGCAGGATTGGCAGTGGACGGGGACCCGCTGGCCCAGTTGGTGTGACCGTGTGCTGTACCTGGACCAGGCTGGACAGCCCGTCCGGCCGTTGCGCTACGATGCGCTGCCGTTGTTTCCAACCTCTGACCATCGTGCCGTCGCACTCGCGGTCTCCGTCCCGACCCGGCCAATGCGACCAGCAGATGCGCTGGCCCAACGGCCGGCGGCCCCGTTCCCGATCGACCCAGACTGGGCGCGTAGACGAGATGCGGCGCGGCGGAAGGAGCTGGTGGTGGGCTGTGTCGCGTATCTCGGGCTGACCTGGGAGGGCAACGGGGTGTTGGTGGCTACGGTGGTTGGGCTTCTGGGTGCGTGGCTCGTGCTTCGCTCCCTGTTGAACGCCTGACGAGGCGTCGCGTTGCAGCCTTAGTGTCAGAAGAGAAAATCTGCGACTCGAAACCTCCCCTTATTTTTCCCCTCCAGCGCGGAGCTCTGCCCCATGTCGATCGGAGGGGAGAGAAGGGGGGGGGGGGGAGATTGATCTTCGATCCAGCGAGATGAATAAATGCCGACACGAACGGGCGTGAACTGTGGAAAACGTGATTTGATTCTGAGTCGTTCACCTCAAAATAAACACCCCTCCCCCCCTTGCGACCGTTCGTTCGGGTTTCACACTCAAACAGTGGACTCCGCGTCCGGCGAATTCGGCGACCTATTTTTTTCTTTTTTGGCACAAGAGTCTCAGCTAGTTCAACTCTGCCCGCCCCAACACGAGACAGACAGACAAGACAAGACAAACACTCAATCAGTCTAGTCTAGTTCCTCCCTCCTCTTCCTCCCGACCGAGCAGTAGTGCAACCGGACAAGATCGCCGAAGGTCACGCACCCATGAAGATCCTGATGCACCGTTCACCAGCAGCCTGCATCGGGACTAGAAGCGCAATAGCTTCTAGACCAGAAGTATAAGTTCCGGGAAGGTCAGGTGAACAGAATGATTTGCACGGGTGATCTAGACCGGGCGGATTCCGCCCTCCCGTTAGTTTTCCTTCATACAAAGCGAAGCAGCGACAACTGCTGCTGCTGCTACAAGGATCGGATGTCATGGATAACGGCTCAAACGACCAGGAAGGGTCGGTGAAATGAATAGACTGCCGCTAGTAGGTCCCTAAGATCTGAGTAAGAGAATCGAGAAAAACGGTTCCCCGTGTTGAACCAGCCTCACTCATTGTTACCTGTAGTCCGTTCACCGACCAGAGATGCCACTTGACTTAGTCATCTATCTATCCCCAAGCTCCCTCCGACATCTACAATGTATATCACATGACCACCCACCAAGACGGAAAGGAGTAAGTAAGAAAAAGCGAGACAGGGAGGGAGAGGGTGAGAGGGGGGCATTCAAGACAGGGACAGAACCAAAAAAAAAAAAAAAAAGTTCGGCCGGGGTTTTAAAAACTCGGGAGATAGTTTTTTTTTTTTCTCCTCTAATGGGGCCTGAATCTTTAGTCTCGAAGATGGAGTTTTGATTGTGGATATACCCGCGCGCGCGGTAGAAAAGACTGCCTGCCACATGTAAAGAGTTCGAGAGACTTAAAATCCTCGATAAGCTCGAGCTCTCGCTCTTCGCTAGTGTATCGAGTTACGGAGAAGCAAACTAGATGTTGCGAGGGGTCGGAAGCATGCGCTTGCTTTCGCCTTGTCTTCTGGATCGGGTACTCCGTACTCAGTACTATGGGAGGGATTGTACTCATATGAGGACAGCAAGGCCAAACAGGCGGCAATGTACATAGAGACATTACCACCCGTGATAGTAAACGGAAAAAAAAAAAGAAGACATGCTCAGCGCCCGTCGAAGGGCGGAAAAACAGACCAGAAGAAAAAGGAATGGAGCCCGAATTAACAACAAGGGTCTGTCTGCCCTGTCTGTCTTGTCTTGTCTTGTCCATCTGGGTCCCCGCTCTTTTGCCCTCCACTGGTGAAACCGATTCGGGCCAGCAGCAAGCCAGGAAGGGGGGCCCAACCTGAAGGCTCAAGAGTCATCCCGGTCGCTTAAGTTGACTCGACTCGAACTACGATCTATGTCCTCCGTAGTAGCCACTCATAGTAACTGTGAACAGCAACAATTTAGACGGAGGACGGAAGTCGGGATGCGGAAATTGACCCTATCTGCATTATCCTGAAACGGAAATCTTAATGAGCTGGGCCGTTGGGAGTCGAGATTAATTAGCCATGATTTTTTTTTCCTTGTTCATTTCCTCTTCGCGACACGATTGCGCTTGGGGGGGATCGGTTGATTGATTAACTGATTTCATTTGATATTAATCGATTTACATCGTACGACGACGGCGATCTTGTCAAAACTAGAAGAGTCGGGTGGTGGAGAGTGAGATGACATGGACAAAGGATGTTATGTTCCTGATAACAATGCAGCTATGTACCCTGTACCCTGTACCCTGTCACTTACCCTGTGCCCTGACCGACCCTGATCTCGAACGATTAGGCTTGCCGAATTGCGTGAGAGCTTAAAATCACTCGCTCACTCACATAGAGCAAAGAAAAAGGGAGAGATGCGGAATGCCGGGATGATGTGGCAAGGTATGTAGATAGGATATGTTGTTTGTCAAAAAACAAATCGGGAGGGTGGAGGCCCTCCGAGGTCCAGAAATTGATTGTTCTGGAACTGGTCGGGAATGAGGGATTGCGATTGTGACATCCAGCCGAAGCATGGACTACCATCACCGTCCAGGTACTGTAGCACTGCACAAGCATCCAGCCCATGGAACACTGCTACGGAGAATTGTCCCTCAAAGAGTGGTTGCACATGATCAGGCTGGGTCAAGTGACCTTGCCAGCTAAGACTCATATGTGTAATCACCTTTGATCGCCCGTGGATTGTTGCTCGCCGAAAGTTCTGGACCTTCTCGCCGGAATGCCTTACCTTAGTATTAGGATTAAGGATTTGGCCTTTCCAGGTGTCATCCATCTTACTTACCGTAGGATGTGCTCTGCCTCGGAAAGAAAAAAAGATGAGGCTCAGAGACGAACTAACCAATCAGTTGCAGACTGATCCCTGCACTCTCGTTGAACACTTTCCTTCGAGGCTTGGGAGGCTTGGGAGGCTTGGAGGCTTGGAGGCTTGGAGTACCTTATGGACTATTAGCCTCATGCAATCATGCAGTCATGCAGTCATTCATGCCAATCGACCAGGATTAGACGGATTTACGGCTTACAAGCTGAGGGTTTGCTGGAAGTGACGGCGGCGGCGGATGCTGACTGTTCCACCTTCAGCCAACCATCATCGCCAATCGCTGACCGACCGACTGGGACCGCGGTTACTTACGGCCTAGTCTTGCTTACCCGTGGTCAAAGAAGATGGACTGTATGCAGTCAGCATCAGCATTACTACTCCGTATTTAGTGTACAATTCTTCTTTGCTTGGTTGCCTACCTCTACCTTCTTCTTGGCCTGGGCTCCAGCTGGGCTCCAGCTGGGCTCCAGCCAAACGGAAAGGCCGAAAGGGAAAGGACGAGAATCCTTGTTGTGTGTGAGCGGGTGGAACAGATGATCTGCCGATATGAGTGTCCGATTCAATGCTCAATGAAAATTCAATGATGAGATGATGAAAAGACGAAAAGGACAAAGCTCGGTACCATCTCTGTCAGTCCACCCTGCCTTCTGACTCGCTCAGCCAAAGTAACCCGTCATTAATGTCATGCAGGGATCTTCGACCAGAAGGACAGGCAGGCAGGCCTTTCGTCAATGGATTGACATATCCCGTGTTTTCCGAAAGCCGACTTGGTGCTGCCCAGACTTACAAACTCCCCCCCGTCCTAAAGGGACTAGACCCAAGGGGGCAAAAATGAGAGAGACAAAACGGGAAAGGGAAAAAAGTGTGGACGGTGGGAAAGCAAAGGCTGGCAAATGGAAAAAGGGTAAAAAGAGGGGGGGGGAAAGAAAAGAAAAGAAAAAGGAGAAGGGAAGCTTAGTCGACGTTCCAGAAACTGTGGAAACTTCGACCTTGGTGCGACGGTTCGGCCCAAGATCCAGACTCTGAAGCTACGCTTCTCATAACCCTCATCAATCCGAAACTCCTTGACCGATGATGCATGACGGCTGGTCGATGACCCCGTCATCCAAGTACTACATACTATACAGTATGCTTTAGCCTAGCAGTAGAATTTGGGAGTCTATCGAGTATTGACCACACCCACAAAGCATTATTAACATCATCGCTGCAGGTTAACTTGAGGAAAGAAAATTAATTATTCTGACAGGGCAGGGCCCACGCCGCCCTGCAATCATGTCTCTGCTTGCTTGTCCCTTTTCCCGGCTAGTAGACCAGGCAGTTGAGGGAATGTCAGTCAGGGGCCAAAAGCAAAAATCACCTGCGAGTCATTGATTCTGCCAGCAGTGCGGAGACGTTAAGTGAAAGCTGTTACATGGGGGCAGAATGTGAGGCACGTCTTGGAACTTTTATGGGAGGGGAAACAGATAATAATTCACTGAATGGGGGAATTTTTGTTCGGTTTCTTTTTCCCTTTTTTTTTTTTTAACATTTTCTTGGGGCTCTTGGGTTTCTCTCCCGTCTCTCCTCTCTTGTCTTCCCTTCTGGATCATTTTCGAACATCCAGCCGAGAAACACGGAATCCACTGTTGAGACTTTGGCTGCCACCAAACTACCAATAACGATGCCATCAGTGATGCCCAGGATCTCAAGCGAAGGATTGTTACGACTGCCTTGGGTCAACAATGTTGATTCGCCTGATTGCACCTGCACCTGGCCAGCCCCGTCATTGCCACACACACTTGTCACCGGGACCACTTCAGGTACCAAGAAGTCATTGAAGGTCGATTCGTACAGCAGTGCAACTGGTGCCTCTCATTCGACGACTGACTGCATCAGAATCATCGTTCTATACAATCCGGGCTCCATCTGAGCCCCCTCTCCCCGTCCCGTGGCCCGTTAGATGGCATGGAACCCAAATTTTAATCTCCCTGGCCGGGACTGCGAGGACCATTCGCAGAGCATGCTTTATATTGTCCTTGCAATTGCGGTGATTTGATTGTCATTAATGCCTAACTAGCCATACGACGACGGGACTGCCCTCTTTCCCCGTTCCTCACCACTCTCGTACTCGGTCTCTCTCGCCTACAGTCCAAGTTCTCCTAGTCCCAAACACTCGCTGGCTTGTTTCGCATCTTGACACTAGATCTCCCGTGCTCCATCAAACAACGGATATAAATCATTGAGATCCCTATCTCTGCAATTAACTACCTTTATTTTCCGTTTCTTCTTTCTGCCCTTGAAGTCGATTCAGTTTCTTCACACTGATAATTATTGATCGTTGATCGTTCAATTTTGGTCTCCTTCTTTCATCCCTTCCTTCATTCCTTTACGGTTGCATTTTCAGTGGTCTTCACGTCCATTTTGAATTTTGCTTATTTTTTCTTTGGGGTTATAATTATTTTTATTATTTTGTCTCTCTTTCGCCCCATCCCACCACCACCACCCACTTTAGTGGCGCAGCCCAACCTCAGCGCTAGAACCTCAACGGACCCCCGGCGCGGCGCTTGCGATTCCTTTTTCCACCAAACCACTCACAATCGAACACCCCCCCCTTGCTGGTGTCGCTGCAGGACAACGGCCTTGCGATCTTGACGTAATTGCCCCGTGGCGTGGAATTGGGTCTAATTTCCTTTGGGTCCTAAGGTCCTAAGATTATTATTATCTATAACTGCCCTTACTTTTCTGGACTATTTTTTTTTTCGGATCTTCTGGGATTTTTTTTCTGGGGTTTCCTTTTAACTTGGCCTGGTTCCGCTTCAAAGTTGTCGCCAAATCCCCAGCCCTAGAAAAAGCTCCCTTGACGGGATTCATTCAGCTCCAGCCTTCCAGTCAACCGTGACTAGTACTCTCATCCCGCAACCTCTAACACCTGCTTTCATACAACACTCACTCGACTCGACGTCCGATAATCACCATGTTCTCCTGTGCCAACTATCCTCGTGGCTGCCGTGGCCGTGTGAACATTAATGGCGGCAAATGCCCCGACTGTGTGGTATGTTCGTCCCCGCCGGAAGCTTACTTTGCCCACTGCCCAACTCCTCCCCTCCTACTCCCACCTTATACTGACTCATGGACCTACAGCAATTGAAGCTCCGTCACCCTCGATCAACTTCTCCCTTCGCCCAACCCAGAGATTACCGTCGAGCCCTGCCGTCGGAGATCCTGAGCGACTCACCATACAAGGAGGTGATCGACCGCTGCGCATGATGAATGACCTGATGGCAACATTGCGACGGGCAGGGGCGCAACGGATTATCTCCCGGATCTCTATCGATTGAATGGCAGGGGTCCTGCCGGCTGGGACCGATCCCCGGAGGCCCTTGTGCCCTCGTCCACTTTTGCTTCGCTTTTCTTTTGCATCTTAATCATGTGCTCGGACTGAAATGCATTTCTGGGAGTTTGGATCGATCATCTTCGGGCTGAGAGCGGCGTGAGAGCGGCTTTTGTCGCATCTCGACCGATTGCAACGGTCGGACGCCTCTTTTTTCTTTGCTTGGCTACGCGCTCGCCATCGCCCGCCATCGCCCGCCATCACTCGCCAACGTGGTATCGCCATTTCCGACGGACCCTTCCGAAAGTTGGAATGCGCATGGACCTCTGCGACGCGATTCTTGTCATCGTGTCTCGCATGGGCAAACCGGAGTCACAGCATTGGGTCTACAGGGGTTCCTTTGGGTTGTTTTACTGGGTGGTTTATGCGGGTTGACTGTGATTTGGGAGTCCCGGAATGGTCTATCGCTGGTCTACAGCAAAGACACGACAGGGATCTGAGTATCTCTCGGTCTTCACGATGATCAGTCGATCTTCTGGATGGCGCCAAAGAAGAGAAGTCAACTTGGCGCGCACGCAACTGGAAATCTCTGCTGCGGGCGGGCAGTGGGCGCAGGTGGAATTCTTTTTTTTTTTTTTTTTCCTTTTTTTCTTTTTCTTTTTCTTCTCTCTTCTTCCTTCTCACTATCCTTGACTCCCCTCTTTATCCCCTGGTCCTACCTTTGTGCGTGGTCATCATCGCGACTTCATCACTTCATCCTGACATCGTCTTGTAATTCTTCTCTTTGTCATGTCTCCGCTGCTTTCTTTGTTGTAATATGCGTTGGCCGATTTACCCATACCCAATTCGGCTATCTGTACGATCCAAGGTACTTCCTTTTTTCTACTTGTCATACTTGAATATACCCTATTTCTTTTTTTCCCTTTGCTATGATCATGATTCGTGTCTCGAAAGTAGGTAGCTGTCTTTGACAAAGAAAGCCCGAACTTCGCACCTATTAGCTGGTCCCTACTAGATGCCTGAAACGGACACCGAGTGAGCAGACGGACGGGTTGGGTGATGGGTGATGTATGGTGACACCATTCCTCGGTAGATCGATGAACATCTCGGGATCTGCCTTGAACCCTGTTTTCCCCCTCTCTTACTTTTGCTTCTGCATGTTTCTACGCTGGTCTGTTGTGAGCAGCTGATCCCTTCCGTCTTGGAGCCCGTGATGCCTGCAGCAGCAGCAGCAGCATCTCACCACTTGCTTGGAAGTAGTGTACCTTTGGACTGTCCATGTGACCGGTCCTTCGAGCCAAGAACCCTGCAGAGTAGTACGGTGGTATTGCCGTCGTCGTAGCCTGGGAGTCGAAGTCATCATGAATCAACCATTAGTAAGGACCCAGTCCCGAGGACCATCCGTGCGCCGTAACTTATTATCCGTCACCGTCACCTGTCATTCGTTTTTGGGTGAGTGGGCGTGCGCGCGCAACGCAACGCACGAATTCCCGGGCTCCTCCTCCCCCTCAGCTCCCTTCTTGTGACCCCGCCCCGCTCGGCATTGCCCGGACCGTTGCAGCTTGTCTTCTGCCTTGCCTTGCCTTGCCTGGTCTTGGTCTTCCGATCACCCGCCGCGTGCAAGAGACCCAGCCCGTACAAGAGAGAAAAGTCGTGTCAGCACGGAATTAGTCGAATCAGGATTTCCGTACTCCGTGCTCACCGACTTGGGATTCCTATCTGTAGGTAGCCTGCACTGCCTTCGTGTCAGCCCGGTATATATACTGCTATTATTTTAATAACAACATTAACACGGATAACCCAACCAACAGTACAGCATCGCCTCAGTCTCCCGACACGGTATGACCAGTACTCCGTACTGACCGACTCAATCATTTTCTGGATGTGTACAGTCCACTACAGCCGGGTTACCCAGCCCGCCGCTACGCAAAGTAACTGAGGTCGGGTCAAGCCTAGCAGAATGTCAGGAAATATCTTCCAAGTTCCTACTTACCCGGTCAGGTAAGTCAACCGTTGCATTGATCCACCATCTGCTACCCGGTCCCCACTAACTGCCCTCCCCCGTCTTCCCACCCCCCTCCCTCACTTGGTACCCGCTCCCTCCCGGTGGTCTGGCACATTCGATGAGTATGCTGGTAAGTGGTGTGACAAGCCTGTCGTCCTTCGTTCCTCCTCTTCTGATCGTCATCATTCAATCAAACGGCAAATGCTCCATTAGACCTACTGGCAATGTGGATGTCTACGTCGCTGTCAATTTTCCTGCTTCGTGGTCCCCTTGACGTCAACTAATGCGGGGCAAAGGGCCACGGCCCTTTTGGAACATGATCAAGCTGATGCAGGTGGGTTGGACGGACCGGTCGGAGTGATGATGCACTTCCATGCCGGCGGGTATGAGGAAAGAAAGCCTCGGCTCATGCAGTGGCTACCACCAAAGCCCCCTCCCTCACCGCTGCACAGAGTCAGAGCGGCAGCTACCTGGTACCCTCAGAGAACTACATGTACTGTGCATGACCCACCTACTGTACTGTAACTTCAACATCCAGTCCAGTGCATGTCACCTTCCACCCGCGAGACGCCGCAGAACGACCAGTAGTATGAGTAAGTGACAGCCCTTGCGGCAAAGTAAGCACAACGCACCCCCCCACTCGTCATTGACACTGACATCGACTTGTGGCGGCCGGTGGCGCTCAGATCATCCTTTTCCTTACGTCTTATTGCTGTACATGGTATGTGTTATCTTCCGCAGAAGGGTGGTGTGTCGCTTATGCAGCCAGGATCGGCGTCTAGACCTGCCTTGGTCTTCCCGCTTTGCGGGTGGACTGGCTGGCTGGATGGCTGGCTGGTTGAATGGCTAGTGGCCTGACAGGTAGGTCAGTGTTGGCTGGATGGCTGGATGGCTGGCTGCAGATGATCTGCTCTGCGTTCGTCTCGGGGGCGATGCAATGCGCTGCGCTGCGCTGTGCTTCGGGGTTGTGGCTGAATTGGAGGGGTCTAGATTGGGGGTGTTGGGTTGGTTTTAGAGATGCTTTCTGTAGGGGGTGGTGTGGTGGTGGGTGTTGCTTTGGGGAGTGTAGACGGTACGGTAGGTACATCTTTTAAGATGCGGGAAACTGGGCGGGGAGATAATGTTACTCATAGTTACTAAGCTGAGGTCCAGCTCGCGGGTTTCTGGGTATAAGTAAGTGGGCACTGCCGGGTTTACTGGTTCGAGTATTTCCGGGCCCCGGTTGTTGGCGGGGTTTGGTTTTTGGGGGTATATGTGGGCTACACTGGGCAAGGATCAAGAGAGGTGCTGGGATGTTCGAGCTTGGAGCTTGGGGCTTTGACGGTGGGATTTGACAGGTGAGGGGGGTGGATGGATTGATGGGGTATAATTGTATGGAATATTGGTAAACTTATAGGTCCAGTGGGCTACTGGGTCGTTATCATGTGAGAGCTGAGTGGAGGACAGGGTCGAGACCGGTCGAGGCGGCGGTGGGGTTCATCCCTGTCCACGGTGGTTCTAGACTTTTCTTGATCAGTATGGGCGAGAAGGTTGATACTGGTGTCTGCGGTCGTTGTCTGGCTTGGCGGGTTGGGGATTGGTATAACGATTTGGATGACATGTGCTTTTTGCTATATCTACGGTGATCAGGTAAGCTTTCATGTCGTTGTGGCTGGTCAATTGATGCTCGGCAGTAAATAGAGGTCTCTTGGTGATTATGTGGTTACTGATCTCTGAGGAAACACCTTCTTGAGGCGTCGGTAGTGCATCTTAGCCCAAAGCTCAATTGCTGCAACGATTGTCTGGGAGACTATCAGATATAAGTTGTAAGCAAAACAATGGGCCACCAAGTATGAGGGTACGGTACATCGCGAGCTCCCGAGTCTGACTTCACAACTTCTTTATATCGCAACCATATGGACAGCACCACGATTCACGCCTCTAGACCATGTGTGCTTCGCAAGAGCTTCAGGAAGGTCGTAGGAGGTTTAAGGAAGGCGCAATTAACTCGCCTCATCTCCCAAAATGCAATCGCTCAAACGTCCCTTCCTTAGCGGGATGGCATCCACGCGCATACAGTCTCCACCCGCCGTGAGCGTCACTCTTCCAAGCCACATATCAATTAGCGAGTATCACAAGTCCTTGATATAGGTACTTTCGCAGTTTTTCCAGTTGAAATCAGCAATCTTCCGTCGTGAGAACAATGGATCGCTTGCGAAGATCCAAATCTGCGCGCTCCGTCCGGCGAAGCCACCGCAGCTCCGTCTCCAGCGACGCCTCCGATCCTGTTGTTGCGCGACAACACGCCACGACAGCTGCCTCTCTCGCGATGTTGCGCTCCAAGTGCTCTTATGACGCTCTGGGCGGCCCTGAAAGCATGGCAGTACCCTCGAGAAGACACCGATATACTAGATCACGGCAAAACGCAAGCAATGTCCCCGTGGACAGCGCATCTTCTCGCCCCTCAGCCACCACGGACTCCAGCCCACACGATGAGGACTACACGTCTGCGACGCTGCCTTCCATAAGCGAGTTCAAAGGATTTGACAGCCAAGACTATTTTCTGCCCTCGTCTTATAGACGTCTGCGCAAGTCGCGGTCCATGTTTTCCACTGGACAACTTTGTTCACGCATGTCTCACGGACTTTGCTCCCCCTTGAACGATACTACGACTAGTGAGGGCGACCAGACCTCGCGAACGACACGCACGTATGGCACCTTGCGGCGTTCAATGTCTTTTCTCCGCGGAGAAAAGCCGTCGGCTGGTCCGCTGCGCCATGTGCAGAGTCATGACACGGCAATTGACCTGGCGCGCAGTCAGTTTCAGCAGCAGTCGGCCGACGACTCCCCTCAGACGGAACAGCCGCGGCTGTCTGTTCCTAAGACTCGTCGAGAGCATAGAGCATTCAGGAAAACGCTTCGTCCGACCACATCAGCTGCGGTTGCTGCCGGCACGCCTTCGGCTCCTCAGCCCAGAAGCGTTCACTCTTATGGAAAAGCCAGATCTCTCTCTTCGTCCATCAAGAAAGGAATCAAGAAGGTCTTGGGTCTTGCAAGACCATCTGCGGGCGAGGTCGAGGCGCAGGGGGTCTCTCCATCCCGCCAGGACAAAACACGGACAGGTGCCAACGAACTGAGCACTGGCTGGTTATCGCACAGCCCCCACACCCCACTCACGACTTATATTGAAGCCAATGTACAACCGAAGCAGTATCCAGCGGCCGAGGTTGCCGAAAGCTCAGAAAGCTTGGCTACGAGCCGCTCTCGCGTAACAAGCTGGGCAGACTCGACCGTTGCCAACACTATTGTAACCGGCAACATTGGTGGTCGAAGCCATTTGTCGGTAATTGAAGAGAAAGTTCATTCGGAACAGACCCTTGCAGGGGCTCCGTCCTATGAAAACAGCCCCATCTCCCACGGTAGCCCTGTCAGGCCAACCAGCAAGATTGACAGCCAACGATTGTATTCCGCTTTGATGAGAAGGATCGGCGAGGGCAAGGCACCGGATGCAAGCGAAAGCATTGCCTTTGGTCATGTCAAAGAGCATCGCATCGTCCCGACGCCTGCTGCCTCAGTAGCTGTGCGTCATAATGGGCAGACCGTTCGGATGATTCCGAGTGATGAATCCATCCCATCATCCAAGTCCTTCATCACTGCAGATGCCGGTACGGTGACTCCGCCGCGGCGGTCACAGTGTCCTACTCAACGCCTCCCAGAGTCCTCCTGTCCTGACAAGAATCGTTTGACCACCTCCTTGATCTCTGGTAACAAGGGCATTGCACTCTCAAGGGCTAGCAAGCCGCCTACAGAGGTAGCCACCGGACACCTGGACACCCTCGACCAACAGAGTCCGGACGCAGCTTCCGACTCTCCCAGTGTATATTCTCGCTCCACCGGCGGCAAGTCGCTCGATCCAAGCAACGGCGAGGTTCCCTCCCAATTCCCCGACGAGCCAGGAACGGCTACAATCTACGACACTCACCGAGCCACCTACAGCTCCCCGAAGTTCTATCCGGAAATTCAAACACGTCGAGCATCGGCCCGGCCAAGCGCGGACTGGAAGCAATGGATGCACACGGAGATTGCGAAGATTGAGAATCTCAACCCCATCCAATCTCACTATCGCGAGAATGCACAAATCCAAAGCGACGAGGACGATATGTTCGGTCAAGCTTCTACTCGCTGGATCGAGAGAGCTCAAGGTGTTTTCATCGACGACGATATGTGGTCGGATCGCAAGGTCACTTCGACTAGCAACTTTTCGCGTCCCTTTAGCCGGTCGTCAAGTGTTCAAACCGTAGTGACCACAAAGAAAGATCAGAACGACGGACCGGTACCCCCGCCGCTGCCCTCCAGACCGATATCTCCAAGCTCTACCTACCATGCGGGTAGGTATGGCCCCTTCCAGAGTCAAATCGATTCTCGCAGGGAAAGTTTTGCATTGTCGCCCATGCAGACAATTCCAACCAACCGCTTCCGGATGCCTGAGTCACCCACACCGCGAAGAGACAAATCCGGGGTATCATCTCAGAAGATGGCGAGTGCCACGTACGGCAGACATCCGGCCAGGTGTCCCCCTGCAGCGCGAGATTCTAAGTCCCTGCATAATCGGACGGGTCGAGGATATCGCGACCACCGACAGCTGACCAATGAGAACATGAAAGTCGAGAGCGACTATCATGACATCAAGGGTCAGGATACTCCATCACCGAATTCATGCTCGCCAATATCGAGCAAGCGTATGGTGGAGATGTTTTTGGAGAGCCGACGACGCCAGGCTGGGGTGGAAGCGACTGATGGGGGTGCTGTGAGTGCCTTTATCTAGAGATTTTGGTTCTGGAGATATTGTTTTGAAAAAGACACTTATACCTTGTGCTGATGGATTGTTTACGAGCCGTGGCTTATGTTCCTCCATAGATGTATGTATGCATGCTCTTCAGGGTGGCTATGGATAGTTAGTGCTATGAGCGATGGATAATTAAACACGCCGTATATGTTGGTGCCATGGGTTCAGAATATCCTTATCTGCTATATCTGTTTTTCTCTGTGTTCAGGAAGAAACAGGAGTCAATGTCAATTGGAAGAGTCAGGGGAGGTGTTGGTGTTTAGTAGTTGCTTAGCGGCGGGCCAAGCAGGCTGAAAGGGACTGAGAGGAACTGAAAGGGACTGAAAGGGACAACAATGGCGGCCAGCCCAGCCAGGCTGAAACATTAACTAAAGGAGTAACTGCTAGGAAGTAAACTTACCACCACTTCCTCCTCCACTCCTCCACTTGTGGCTGCGTCATCTTCTTACTCCCGCGCTCCCTCTTTCTTGCGTCTAACTGGCATCCTTTTTTCTTTTTCTTTTTCTTTTCTTTCTCCCTCTCCTTTGCTTCTTTTGATGACATAGGAGGGACAGATTTCTTTTTACTGCGTTCTATTATTTCCTTAAGACTGTTGCCCCCCCTTCTAGATGGCCCACCAGTGAACCTTCCCTTCGTTCCCCGTTCCCCGTTCCCCTCGTTTCGCTCCCCTCTTTTCCCCCCGAGGGGCCACGCGGCACGATGCAGTCCATGCAAAGGCAATTTGGCCGCTTCATGAAGCGATCCGCCGACGAAAGCCAGGTCGCGATTCTGCTCAAAGACTTCGAAGAAGCTGACAAGCTTCTGGGCCGAGTATGTAAACACGCAAGCTCAAGCTCTCCCCCCCGCAGCAGCACAGGAACTAACTTTCGGCCACCCGCCGTCACTCGCTCCCCTCAGATCATCGAATTCACCAGCGCATGGCGCGATGCCTGGTCTTCGCTTCTCATCCACCAAAATCGCATGCTCGCTGAATTCAACGCCCTCTATGCCCCGATCCTCGGTTCCTCCGACTCCTCCACCGGTCCAAAAGCGGCCCCGACGCCACGGGAAACCCTGGCTCGGACAAATAAGCTTCGGGAACAATACGAGGAGCTCCGGAGAGAGCTGCTGGCCGATATCACCGCCGTGGACGAGCGGATGATCAAGCCAGCAACCCAAGCCAGGGAATACCTGATTCCGATGAAGAAGACGATCAAGAAGCGGGATGATCGTAAGGTGTGTTTCTCAGCCACTTGTAACTGAACTGGGTCATGCTGATTGGGGTTGTTCCAGCTCGACTATGAACGCTACCAGAGTCGCGTGGATAATTACACCAAGAAAACGAAACGGTCGGATCGCGACAATGCAGCCCTCGTCAAGGCTGAGGGTGACCTTGCTAAAGCAACAGAGGTAGGTCTCCACCAATTCTTGCCTCGCATTGACGTGGTCTGACAGGAGCAGGACTATAACGCTGCGGATGAGCACCTCCGGCACAGTCTCCCGCCGCTGATCGCCGCTGCCTTCTCCCTGCTCCCCCGGTTGCTGGCCACTCAGATTGAGCTGCAAAACAATATGTTGGCGCATTACTACACCGTGGTGCTGGAGTACAGCCAGGATGAACAATTCCCGGTCCCCGCGCCGCCAATGGAGCATATCGTCGAGGACTGGGAGCGCGCCCACCTGCCCGTCCAGCAGGAAGTCGAAAGTTTCGCTAGCATCGCCAACGGCAAGACCGTTCGCCTGTCCCCGGTGGACGAACATCAACGCAACGGTCATAATTATCTCAGTCGCCCTACGAACCTAATATCTAGTTACTGCCGCTCACCTGGCGCCCACGAAGAAACGCCGCCCCCCAAACCCCCACGGCCCGTTTCCCCAAATCCCGCCGCGGTCCAGCGCAAGCTCCCGCCTCCAGCGCCTCCGGCTGCTCAGACAAAGCTTCCTCCCATGCCACCACCGCCCGCCTACGATACCAAGCCCCGACCGAATCTCGAAACAAAGCCGAAACCCATACCTCGACCGAAACCGCAGCTATCGAGCATGCCGGCCGCCTCAACGTCATCACTCAATCTACCCTCGAGCTCGAGTCACCATCTCTCCCCGCAAGCATCAGTGGCCCAGACCTCTGCCTCGTCTCCCGCAGCGGAATCGTACGTCTCTGCGGCCGAGTATATCCGTTCCCCTTCGCCGGGCGTGTCTTCCGTCGCCTCACGAGCAGACTACTTCAGTCGAAATAGCAGCAACAATCAGCATACCTCACCCTCTCCAGCATCGGCTGCGGCAGCGGGGTCTCCCGGGCTATCTTCCGTTGCGGCCCGTGCGGACTACTTCAGTCGGTCCGGCAGTAACATCCAACTTCCGTCCTCAACCCCCGTTGCATCGACATCTTCCCTGTCGCCTGCGGCGGCGGCAGGTATATCTCCTGGCTTATCCTCCGTTGCGTCCAGAGCGAATCAGTTCAACCGCCCGAACAGCAGCAACCGCCAGCCATCTCCCTCGCCATCCCGTGCGGCAGTGTCTTCCGTAGCGGGCAAGAAGAAGCCGCCTCCACCTCCACCGCCACGCCTGAATTCTCAGAATGCGCTCTTCGTGACGGCGCTGTATGATTTTGGGGGCCAGGGAGCGGGTGATTTGTCGTTCCGGGAGGGCGATCGGATCCGTGTTCTGAAGAAGACGGAGAGCACGGACGACTGGTGGGAGGGGGAGCTGAGGGGAGTAAAGGGGAGTTTTCCGGCTAATTATGTGGAGTGATTGGGCAGTGGTCGAGGAGAGTATAAGTTAAAAGCAGTAATCACATGCATTGTAGGAGTCGCTTGATTCGTGATGCTTTTATGTCTTGAATATTGCTTTGATCATCATATGTAACAGTCAAGATGCTCTAACGCTATTTGGCGCTGAAGTGGGTTGAACACGCAGTGAGAGACGCACGGTAAACAGGAGTTCATACTCAGCTCGGGCACGGGACTGACAGCCTCAGGCGCGTCTCGGCCGCGATCTTCCCGCTTAAACTTATCTTTTCTCCGCGTCCGCTTCTCCAACTTTCTTCCAACCACCACCACCTTATCAGGTTCCTTCACTCGAACCCATCACCAACGGTTCTACGGCAATTGCAGCATCTCCCTCAACCCGCAACCTCCACCTCACCTCGAACACAACAAATCCGATGGTCCCCCAGAACAGGGTCCCCAACCCTGGACAGACCCTTCCGCCTCCCCCACCACCACCTTGAGAGCAGCAACACAGCAGCACCACGCACCCCAACCTCACAATCAACCAACCAACTAACCAACCCACCTATTTCCTCAGCATACAAAATGACCTACCCCTCCACCCCGACCCCCTCGGGGTTCCCCCCCTCCTCCTCCGGCCTATCCTCCACCACCTCCCCATTCACAACCCCACTCACCCAAAACACCGCCCCGGTCATCAAACACCGCTGCCTCTTCACGCACGACACGCGCCGCAAGGCCAAACGCTGGCAGGACGGGTACCTGCGCTACCACACCTTCAACAAACGCATCATGGCCTACGACACGAGCGGCAACTTCATCGGCGATCTGCACTGGCGCCAGGACGCGGCCGTGCAGGACGGCGACGAGCTCGAGCTGGATCGCGGCGTCTTGGTGCAGGTCTGTGAGGCGGTGGGGCGGTCGGAGACGGATCTGGGGGCTGTGCTGTCGCATTCATATCCCAATTCGCATTTGAATGGGGTGGCGGGTGGAGGGAATGGGAAGAGGGGGTTTGGTGCTGCAAGTACGCAGGGTTCGTTGGCGGGGTCACAACAGCAGCAGCAGCAGTCTATGCGGTCTTTGAATGATTTGCTGGGGATAAAGAAGACAACACCGGCTTTGGGGGGAACGGGCTCGGGTTTGGCGACTTCGGGGTTGGCTGCGACGCGAGTTATGCAAGGTCCGGAGCGCGGGGCCGGAGAGCTGTCGGCTGCGCGTGCTGCGAAACGGCAGAGGGTTGACGGGTCGGGTCTGGGTTTGGGTTCGGGTGCTGTGGAAGGAGGATTGTTCGCGCTGCAGCAGGTCCCTACTCGTCGTGTACTGGCTCAGCCGGTTCAGCCTCGACCGCGGCCGGCGGTCGTGGACCTGACGGGTTCGTCGACTGCGCTGGTGACGAATCCAGCTGCTACCGCTACCGCTACATCCACAAGGCTGCAGAGCCACGATCTTGAACGACAAAGAGCCGACTCGAGGACAAGTGTACAAGCGAAGAGCATGTCTCGCGAAGAGGGGAGTACTATTCCTCAACGACAAGCATCGCGCAAAGAAGGCAGCAATCCTCCACAGCTACCGTCGTCACGCAAAGAGAGCAGCTACCCTCTACCACAACGACAAGCAACCCGCAATGCGAACAGCAATCCTCCACAACTACCGTCGTCACGCGAAGAGAGCAACTCAGCGCCAGAAGAGCCACCCGTCCTTCTCCGACTCTCGACCAGCAAACGACGCAAGAAACTCATGTACTCGGCCCTACTCCCCGGTGGGGGTGGAAAAGTCGCCAAACCAGCTTCATCCGCACCAGCCCCAGCCCCAGCCCCAGTACCAGCACCACCCAGAAACAACAAAAACCCTCCACCCCCCGCACAACCACCCACAACCACCACCGCCACTCCACCAAAACCCCACGACTTCACCCCCTCGACCTCAACCCAAACCATCCTCAACGACCTAATCACCGCACCACCACGCGTCCCACCCAACCCAAGAAACCACACTCCCACAACCACAAAACCAAACACAAACCCCCTCAACCCCATTAACCGCAACCCAAGATCGAACATCCCAACGCACACCAGCCTCCGCAAGTCCTACTCCGACCCCACCGCCCTAGCCACCACCACCACTGTCCACAGAGCCAACCATACAACCATCCCAGACCCCGCCGGCGACGACCCCTTCGACCAAGGGCCCTGGACCCGCGAGGCCCTGGATCTCTTTGATTTCTGGCCGGCGGGGCGGGCGAAGCCTGTTTAGTTGACCCCCATTTAATGCCTCAAGTTGTTTGGGGTTGATGAGAGAGGATGAGATGGGGGCTCGGTGGGTAATAGAAGCGGAGCTGTACGGCTATATATGCAGCATGCCCTGCCCTGTCCTGTCCTCTGCAAGGTGCATGTGGAACGGATGTGGTTGGTGGATGAAGACATTCTCTTCTTCTGCAGGAGGGCGTTGTTTACTCTTATACTATTTTTGTTTTTGTTTTTGTTTTTCCTATGGTTTGATGACCTATGATACCCTTTTGCATTGATTACGATGATATATTATATCTGTGTATACATCCAACCAGCCATACCACAATACCTTGAATTACGAATATACCATAGCTGCATTACTTACCTAGACCATAGCTTATTCGTTACCTGAGTGGGAGAGACAATTCTCCCTGTTATATGCCTGTGCACTGCAGCTCGGAGCCGAATGTAAGCCATACCTCCCTCACTCGAAGTACACACACATCAATCACACATTACAGACCTACAAGAACACAACTACAATCAACCACGATCCATTCGTGGCTGTGCGCATGTGGCAATTTATTTAGTGGCAGGAAGGAATTCCGAGTATACAGTCAGTCAGTCAGCCCAGCAGGGAAATACAGCAGGAGAATGCCTTCTTTCAAAGAGTGTCAGTGTCAGTTGCCTCAAGCCAGTCAAGCCACGAGTTAATCCACAAAAGAAAAAAAAAACATGTCACTGTCAATAGTGGGATGTGGTAAATGTAGGTGGTTAGGTTAAGTTTGTAAGTTGGTTTGGTTATAAGTTAGGTGGTGGGTAGTTTTCATGCGACGGAAGAAAGCGTAGCGCAATGAATAAACCAAAAGGAAAAACACGGTTAAAAAGAATGACAAGAATATCAAGAAGCCGTCCGGGCACCGAGAGTGGAGGAGGAGGTGAAGGAGGGATGAACGGGGCTGCAGTGCCGCCCGCGTGGGGATTAAAATAGAGTAAATATAGAGAGACAAAGAGGGGAGCCCGGGGAGGGGAAAAAACAAGACGAGACAAGTTCGCCCCTGACGACCAAGGGTATGCAAGTTCCAGACGCTCAGTGTGCACTTATTCAGACTCCAGACATTATAAAGGTACTCCCGTGGGGTTCAAAGTACGATGACAATGGCGATGCAATGAAAGAGATTCGTGCAGAACGAAAATTCAGGGCAATGGATAGCCCGGCCAATCGACGCGCGACGCGACTCAACTCCAAAAGGTGGAGGTTCAATGATGGGAATGAATCCGGTTCACCCGCGGGCTATATTTGCTTGTCCTAGACAAGGCACTGACATCGTGTTTGCCTGGTCAAGTTAGCTGGTGAACTGTCATGACAAGTCAAGGGGTATACATACCATCACAACAAGCTCGCACATTCTCGAGTCGGTCACCCTGGCTTTCTTGCCTCTCCATCGTGTGCCGAAAGTCATCTTGGCTGTCACGGGTGTGAATGCTTCCCTCATGGACACTCGAGCTGGCATAACGAGGACCCTTGCGGCCAAATGACCCCTTGATCGTCGTGTTCAGGATCGTGCTGAGGCGGGAGCTAGACCCGTTCCTCTGCTCGGTAAAGGACGAGGGCGAAGCAAGCGAAGGAGAGCATCGACCCGGCGTCAATGTGCGGCGCGATGAGATGGTGGAGCCGGCCCGCTCCTTCGGCCAGTTCCGTGCATTCCGACTGCGCGAAGAGGAAAAGGAGAGTCTCGAGGTCTGGCGAGAGCGTGAGCGGAACTCGGGATTGAACTCATCGATGTCTTCCAAAGAAGCGTTGCTTTGATGCTCTTCGCCATTCTCTGCCGAATTGCGCAGCAGGAGGTACGACAGTGCATTGAACCACGTCTCGTGCCGCTGGCTGGTGGTTGCTGTGAACCGAACCCGGCGGCCTGGGCTAACCACCTCCAGACTCCTGCAGTGCAGACCAGGAGGATAAGGATTGTCATCAGGAACGACCCTGACAGCCTCGATAGGAACACTCTTGGTCTTCAATTCACGTGTGCCAGCGGTCTGGGGATCTTGCGCACTCCAATACAGCGTACGTGTATAGGGGTGAACCCAGAAGTAGCGTCGGTGTCGAGTGCTGGAGACCTCCCCAGTGACAGTCTTGCGAGTGTACTTCCAAAGGAATTCGCCAATCATCGTTTGCGTGATAGCCTGGATCATCCTCGGGTCCGTACCAGCGGCATAACCCTGAGGGCCGATGGGCTGCGCAGCAAATCGCTCATCGATCTCAGAAGCAAAGGATGACACCGATGACCTCCGTGAGATGTGACTGTGACTCTCGCTTCTGAGTTTGACGCGGGAGGTCGTGGTAGACATCGAGTTGACTTGGAGTCCCGACTCGTTGGGAGTTCGCGGCCGCTGGCTCACATTGGTTCGGTGAGCGGAGGCCGGGGCAAGGGGCGGGCCCATCAAGTTCGGAGAAGATGGCCGTTGGTCCAATGATCGTTTCTCGGCCGCCATGATAGCCTCCTTGTGGTCGGTGGGCAAAGGGGGGTGGCTATGGATGCTTGAGGTATGGCTAAGCGAACTGCCCGGCCTGAGCTGATGGGATGGGAGAGAGGATTGAGAGGACTGATGAGTGGGACGAGTGCGTGCTCGGGGTGTGGCAAACGGTGAGGTGTTCTGCTCCTTGGCCTTGTCACTGTCCGGAGGAGACAGTGGCCGGGTGGTGACACGGTCCATGAGAATCTGGTCAATCTGCTTCGACGACAGGATTGTTTGGGCGCCCTGGTCAGCCCGTTCCACCCGACTCGTTGATTGCTGTCGTGTATGGCGTGGGGCAACATTGCCAGAAATGGTGCTTAGAGGCAGAGTGGAGTCTGGCGTTCCGTTTGTACCACTAGCCGCATTGTTGCTTGGATTATCATCATTGACAAGAAGCAATGGCAGTTCGGAAGCAGGGAGACCCTTGACCATTTGCATGCTGTGCTCCGGTGGCGCATTTTCATCGGTCAGCTGAACCGGGGGCACAACAACAGCCGTCGGGACATGTTTGACGGGGGTCGTTTCCACCGCGCGCACCCCAGACAGTGAGATTTCAGGAGCTTGAACCACTGGTGCCTCGTGCAACTGTGGTGTAGCTGGTTCCGTGCTTTCCGATGCAATGACAGAAAGATTCAAATCTGGAAGCTTGGGCTCGGCAATCTCTCGCTCACCCGCAACTGTCAATTCCGGCTCAGCCGGTGCGTCCAGAGTAGCCACAATGGGCTCGGTCTGTTGCGAGAAGATTGACGATACACCTAGCTCTGACAGCTCGACTTCCTGAGCTTTCTCCACGATGTTCACGGGCTCTGGGTCTACGCTCCGCTCAATTACTGCCAGGACAGGCTCCGTCTGCTGAGCGACTATCGACGATAGAGTCAGCGGTGGAAGCTCCCGTTCAACTTCGACGCGCTTCTCAATAATCACAGGCTCGACCACCGGAGTAGGTTTGGGAATGGCCACGACAGGCTCGGTGTCCAGAGAGTAGAGTGGTGAGACGGTGAGCTCCACACTCTCAGTGTTGGTGCCATGTTCAGCAAAGACGACCACTGGCGCAGGTTCAGGGAGGGCTGCCCCGACAGGCAGGGTATGTTGAGATGAAAGTGTCGACATCGCCACATTGGGAACATAGACGGGTTCGGGTTGAGGGACACGCGCAACGATTGGCTCAGTAGAAGCGGAGGAGATCAAAGACAATGCCACCTTTGGCGGGTCAGGAATGACGGATGCAGCGGGTTCTGTCGTGACTCCAATAGCATACGCAGTGTCCAGATGAGGGCGCCTCGGCGGAGATGGAACAGTCTCCTCAGAAGAGACAGATGAGACTTCCAACTGCAACTGAGCAGATGGTTGCTCTACTTCTCTCTGGGTCTCAGCGATAACTGCCTCAGATTCAGGAACGATCCACTGAGTTGAAGCGTGCACCAGTTCAGGCGCTTGCTCTTGCTCCATCGCAGTGCCGACATCAGATGTGGCTGGTTTCGAGGGAGACACTGGTGCGTTGTTGACCGTTTCCTCGGTAGCAGGCACAGCAGTGACTGCAGCAGGCACAGCAGTGACTGCAGCAGGCACAGCGGGCTCCCATGGATCCGTCATCATACCAGAGTCAACCATAAGGGGCTTCGAGATGGTATCAAGAACAGCTTCTGATGGCCGTCTGGAATCGTAAGCGGCGAGAATGCGCGGAGTCGAGGCCTGTGATGCCGTGTCGAAGCGCATCGGAGGTCCAAAGTCACCCTCTTGGTCATCATCACCATCCAACTCAGCAAGCTCCATGAAGAGGCTCTGTCCCTCTGGGCTTGCTGAGCTTTGCATGAAGCTTGTGGCTGGAGATTCGCGAGCGGTGGAGGGCCTGCTGTTGGAAGCCATGGGAGCCTCGCCAGAAGGACGGATCCTCCTCACGATACTCCTCTTGTTCCTCACCCTGTACCTAGGACTAATTTGGCTAGGCGATGGGAAGCCTTCCTCATCGATCACGTCCTCGTCACTTGAGTTGGAGGCAGTGCTCTCGTAAGCCTTCCTGTCGCGGGTCTTGGTCATAGTAAAAGAGGACACGCGCCCGCGTGGGGTTCTCTGCAGCCGGTCGTCTGTCTCCGTGAGCTCGCCGCTATCCGAGCTATCATCAGCCATGCTTTCTAGGCCAGTCTGGAAGGCTTCGCTTTCCGTGGCTGTTCCTCGTTCGGTGGCTGTTTCAAAGTTGTCGTCGGCTTCGGTAGCGGTCTGGTACGCATCGCTCGGTTCTTCAGATGACCGTCCTCCCATACGGGCTCGGGACGCCTTGAGAGCGGCTTTATGAGAGGGACTGGCGTCGGTAGCGTTGTCTTCCCAGTCCGATTCATGGATTTCAATCTCCGCTCGCTTTCGACCAGCACCCAGCAGATCGGGCCGTGCGGCCTTGCGTGCAGGGTCAGGCTTGGTCTTCTGGCGTTTGCTGGACGGACCGGTTGGCGCAGCGGACTCTCGGCGCTTCGTCTCAAGTTCATCGCGGGCGTCCTGCAGCATGCGCTTCAGGTCAATCTTCTCGGTCTTTTCGCGATGGATAGTGCTCTTGAGATTCTGGATCATGCGGTGGGCATGACCGAGCGAACTCTTCAAGGTCTCCGTTTCGAGATGGTTGTGTCGCGGCGTGAATTTGTTGGGAGACGGCGGCGGGGAGTTCTCGGGCGTCGAATGTTCCTGGTCGTCTGAGTCTTGATCCCGATGGACTTCCCGGGAAAGCTCTTGTTCTTGCTGGCGAAGGCGCAAGGCCACTGCCCTGGCGAGTTCCTCGTTCTGCGAGTTCAATTCTTCGAGTTTCTGCTGTAGCGCAAGCTTCTCGGTATCACCAGCATGCACATGGCGACGCAAAACGTGAATCTCGGCATCGTTGGCTTTCTGAGCAGCAGTGTGATCTTCGATCAGCTTCGCATTGGCCTGTCTCAGATCCTCGAGCTCCCGCTCCATGGCGCTTTTCTCCGTGGCCAAAGCACCCAGGCTGCTATTGAGTCTGCTTTCTCGGTCGGCTGCTTCCTTAGCAGCTGTCATCAGCTCGCGGGTTCGAGTCTCCAGTGTCCAGTTTTCGTCCTTATAGCGCTCTTCGCTCTCGTCGAGTACTCTGATTCGTTGAGCATACCCCTCGGCCTCGAGTTCGAGTCGCGACTTCTCGAGATTCACATTTTTGAGGGCGTCCTCACGCTCTGCAAGGAGAGCTTGCAGTTGGCGCACTTGTGCGAGGAGAGAGGTAGAAATCTCGGTGGCGAACTCGATGTCATGGACGCGGTTGGAGGGCTGATTGCGCTGCTTTCGTGACGGAACGCTGACTTTACTGGGCGAGTTGGTAGCCTGGCCGGCGAAGAGGGCGGAGCTAATGGGTGACTAACAACGATTGTCATTAGCCGTGTGCAAGAAGCATCAAAATGAATGCGCCCTACCTTTTGCTCATGCGGAGTTCCGAAGTGGCCATCTTCACCGCTGGCGAGACGCTTCGGGGCCAGGAATGCGCGCGCCGTTTCGCGGCCAATTTCATTGTACTCCTTCTCCAGATCCACGAGCTTGCGACGTAGGTCCGGGCCGATTTGGCCCTCCTCCTGCTGTTGCTCCACTTCCCGCAGCTTTTCCTCGAGCTGTTTCTGCTGTTCGATCAGTGCCGTTCCCAGCTTGCCGGCCTCTTCGAGTCGGCGCTCGGTTTCCGCCAGATGAGCCTCGAGCGCCCGTTTGGCTTGGGCGGGGGAGGACGCATTCAGGCTGAACAATTGGGTGTCAAAGGAGGAGTACTTGTGCGAATCGCGAGAAGCGATTCCCTCCCTGGCATGGGAGACGAAAGGATCTTCGACCGTAGACATATTGGCGGGACTTCGTTATCTATCATCCGGTGGGGCAGTATCGTGTTCCAGTGCGAGGAGGTTGTGGTGAACCGTCGGATGAGAATCGCCGCAGTTGCGGTCTGATGTCTTGAAGACAAGACTCAGGTGCCGTAGGTATCCCGCGTAACTCGTCGCCTCGGTATTCGTATCGTCGTATCAATTCTGAATCATCCTCCGGCTTGCGCTCGATGTTCTGACGGTTTATTCAGGTCGAGTCCTTGGGCTATGAGTTCCGTTTACTGAGCCGACCAGCGAACTTGGCTCCGCAAATACCGTGGCTTCGGACGGAGCGTGGCAGTGGAGCGACACAAGGGAAGCGCGCGGTCGGGTCGGCAAGCCCACGCAGTGACGCGTCTATAGGCGAATGGAAGGCGGATTGAAGGGGATCGAGATTGCTGATGGAGCCGAAGGGTTGAGAATGCAGCTAGATGTCGTCCCGAGAGGAGAATCGAGGTGCGACCGAAACAGCGTCACCACAACAAGGCGGCCAGACAACAAACGCGTTGCCGACGCAGGGTGACCTCGTTGTGCGTCGAATCAGGATGCGGGCCAACCCGATAGTCAAGCCCAATCGCTCAGCCTTCGGGACCAGGCAGCGGGCGATGCTTTTGGGGGGGGGGGTCCTTGCGGCGCAACAAGCAAGGCCCGACAGGCGCGACAAACGAAGGCAGTGCGCTAATGAGCCACGGGGAGCGGGCGGGTGCGATGATGAACGGCCACCTAACGTTGCCGTTCGAGCGATAAGATTAGGATCAATTGAGGAATTAAAGGAAAGAAAGGAAATAATAAGGAAGGACAAGAGTGGTGAGTATTGTAATTGCAAAAGAAAGAAAGAAAGAAGAAGAGGAGATGAAGAAGGGGATGTGAGTTGAGAAATGAAGAATGAGGGAGTGAGTGAGGGAGTGAGTGAGGGAGTGAGTGATTTCAGAGGCAGTGCCGGAGAGGGGAGGGGGG